ATATTTTAAAAGTTTAGACGGACCTAAATTGCCACCTCTCTTATTTATCGTGGTTCACATCTGAACTAACCCCTATGAAAACCCTGTTTTATTTTGTACCTGTCCAAAACTGAGAGAGAGAAAGATAACAGACAAGATGATTTAGAACCGTGCTTGGAAGCATGCTAACTTGCAGTGTAGCTTACAGGTGTCTAGTTTAACCTCTTCTTCCCTTCTGCCATTTTTTCGCTGTTTGAAAAGAGGAAAAGAGAAGGAAGAAAAAAAAAAAAAAAAAAAGGAAACCAAGAAGAAAAATGCCTTTTCTTCCCTTATTTGAGTAAAAGACAGTTAAAAGAGAAAGCAGAGGGGATCGACTAAAATTTGATTGAGGTTCAGAATACCCCACTTTAGCCACAGTAATTTAAAAAAACAAACAGATGTAAAAAATGATCAAGTGGAGAGTGACTATGCACTTCTCATAGTTCATTTTTAACAAAGGGAGTTACGACAGCATCTCCTTTAGAAGTCACTTGCTCTAATTTATTTCAATGCCCTTCGGATCCACGCGGATGGAAGCTAGGTGCTGAAGGCCACTGAGCTTCGGTTTAAGTGAGGCGCCATCTGGGCGTCCACGCTTCGCATCCTGCTTCAAATGTGTTCCGTGTGGATCTAAATGTAAGAAATAAAACCTCAAAGATACTGAAACATGACATAACCATGTCATGGACAAATATAACCATGAAGTGGACAAATATAAATAAATCAAAGGATAAATAACTGATATTTATATACATGAAAAGATGTTCAAATTCATCCATAAGATAAAGACAAATGGAATTATACTGAGGAGAGATAGTAAATAAATCTGTGTTTCATGCCTCTGGAAATCCTCATAATTATTGGCACAGGTTTTTACACAGGCTCTTCATAGAACATTATGTGGGGTGTGGCCTAACCAACTGTATTTGGTTATTAAAGGAAAAGATGACTTCAGAAGACTGGAGGCCTTGGGTACATTTGGTTTATCACTGACAAATAAGAGATAACACCGTCCCACTAAGTTAAAATAATGTTCTATACAATAAAAATTATTACTTTTTTAATGTGATCTTTTAAACATTGTATTACTAAGCTAAAATAAAGACTAAATAACTATAGAATATACAAAATTAGTATATTTGGGGTGTTAACGTTATGTTAACAATATACAGAATATACAAAATTAGTACTAATTTTGTATATTCTATATATTCCAAGAAAAAAAAAATGGGAAGGACACAGACCAAAATGTTAATAGTGGTTACCTCTTACCTGCTAAATTATGGTCTTAAAAATATTTTTCCTTTACAATTTGGTTTTTATTTTTTCCCCAATATGTCTGCAACAAGCAAGTGTAAAATACTTTAATGTTTTAAAAATGATTTCTCAGGAAACAGGGTATATTATCATTCCTCCAAATCAAGAGTCACACAGATCTACTTCTAACAGCCACATGAAATAGCTTATACGAAAAGGGTAGAGGAGGTTATCTTTATGTTAACTGAGAACTTATCTCAACTTATCAGACAACTCAGAAGATTAACATAGGATAAAACTACTGCAACAACAAAAATACAGTGAAATAGCTTTCTCAAATCATTAATGTTGCGTTCCTAAAGAATCTTTGTAGCACCCATAAAAGATCTATTTAAAAGCTTTTGAACTTGCTTTCTGGGAAATTCAATCTGTAGGCATGTGTTTAAACACACAGGATATTACTATATAACTAAGCAGCTGTGAAGATTAATTACAATTAAAAATAAAAGAGAAAACACAGTACAGCAAGGCAGGACTGTTTAATGAGGAAAGGGTGACTCAAAGGAAAACAGTATTTGTACTAGAAAAATGCAAATATCCATGTGTATATATACACAAATTATGTTACAGAACATATTTTGTGGTGTTTCGAGTTATTTTCCGATTTCATGCCATTCTTAAAATCCAAACATATTCATGTGTCTATGATTCATCTTCCCAGCCTCACTTTTCCTTCCTCACACCCTGCTTTTCAATCATATTTGACAACCTAGTGTTTTCTTTTTCTTGGGATAAAATGGACATATAGCACCAAGTTTAAGGTGTACGGCATGTCTTGACTTGCATATATTGTACACTGATTAACATAACGCTAATACCCGTCAGTTCATACTGCTCCATCTCTGACACGCGTCCAGTTCATCCCTCCCGCGTCAGCCTCACTCATTTCCTGACAGCCCACAGCCCCACCTTACACTGCAGAATGTTCAGTCCACAAAGATTTATGTGGCAGCACTGGGATCTACCTGGGAATACAAAGACTAAAACACTGTTTTGCATATAAACAATAGTTGAAATACTATTTGGAGAGAAAACATGGCTGTACTTTAATACAGAATGAGTTATATACTTAATCATTTATTATGCCAAATACTATTCCTTTTGTTTTTTGGGTTTTTTTTTAACACAGTCTTTTATCTAGTACATATAGATTTGATGAGAAAATTTATGTCCATTTAAGTGTCCTAATTTTTAAGAAATATTTCCAAGAAATATATGTTCATTATAGGAAAATACAGGCAGAGTAGTGTCCAAGTTGTTTAACGTATTCTCACAGTCACTCCCCCAACTCCTCTCCCCTTCTCCCAACTTACTTCTGATAGCCTTCCCAATTCTGGGAGCATGTGGATGTGCTCAGTCCTCCTTACAGGTACAAACGGTAAGATGCTTTGTTTTCAGTAACTGTCTACATAATGTTTACAACTCTGTAGATCTTTCTGGACAAGGTAATCCCTTAGATGAGTATCTGCAGAGATATCCTACTTATGAGCTAAAACAAATCCAAGGGCACCTAGAGATTTGCTGAAACAGGCAAAATATTAACTCCCAAGTCTTTTAACTTAATTCAAAATGTTTCACTAGACCAGGGAATGTGGCCACTTCTTATTCACAAACTTTCTTAAGAACTCTGAACATTATTACATTCTTTTTACTTACGTTAGAGCCAAAACTTAAGTCTTGACACTGGCTTTCCATTCTGCCTTTGCTTGTACTGCTCCCTCAGCCAGTACCTCCCCATACCTACATTGCACCCCCCAAACCCTGACTCCTACCCAATCTTATTGACACTTCTCACATGCCATCTCCTTTGGGAAACCTTTGTCCTCCAAAGTGGTGCTAGGTTCCTCCTGAATATGCCACCCAATGACTAGTACTTAATATCTATTTCCTTTATTTCTAATTTTTAGTTCGAATTTATGTTGTAACCATACTTTTTAAAACCAAATTTGTACCTAAAATTTATATAGTATATTTTTCTGGAAAAAGTTGTGCCCTTGAACTTTTAAACTTGGTTATTTATTTTACAATCTCAAGAATGGGTAAAAAAAAAAAAAAAAATACATGAGTTGTGGGCTTTGGCATTAAAGTAATGTGGGTTTGGCATCCAGCTCTAGTTATAATGGCTGTGTGACCTTGAACTTAATATCTCGAGGCAGTTTTATCATTTTGAAAATAAAGACCTACTTCTCTGTGAAGATTAATTTGTAAGAGTGCAGAGCACACCACCTGTCCAAATCCATGCTCAGTAAGTGTTAGCTGCTGTTGTAGTTCTTAAGAGTAATTTAATCTCATCAAAAGGAGAGATTTAGCCTGGCTGGTGTGGCTCAGTGGCTGAGCGTCAACCCATGCACCAAGGGGTCGCCAGTTCGATTCCTGGTCAGGGCACATGCCCAGGTTGTGGGCCAAATCCCTAGTAGGAGGCATGCAGGAGGCAGCCAATCAATGTTCACCTCATCAATGTTTCTCTCTCTCCCTCCCACTCCTTTTCTCTCTCACTAAAATCAATAAAGAAAAAAAAAAATCTATAAAAAAAAAAAGAGAGATTTAACCAAAAGGAGATAAAGAATAATGTCAATTGATTGGGAACTACCCAAAATATAACATGTAGTTTGACCTACATTGAGATTAATCTGTAATTTATACTTAACATTTGTTATCTATTACACGCCACATATTCAGTGTCAAAATACATCTTAAATGGTTTGAAAATGTATCTGACCCCTTCAAAATGCTTAAATAAAAACACCCAGAGATGTGAAAAATGAAAAAGAATGTTGGCACCATCTAAGGAAGTATCTTTTATGCCAGGAAGTGAATAATACAGTAAATGTCTCTGAATAAGATCCCATCTTAATCTCCAGGAGAACAGAAACTTCAGTTCATATTCAAATCTCTATCAAATATAAAATGGCTTAGAAAGTATTTTAAAATTATTTGCTGAATAAACTAGCTTTTGCCCTGGCTGTTTTGGCTCAGCAGTTAGAGCATCGGCCTGTGGACCAGAGTCCCAGGTTCGGTTGCCGCTAAGGGCACGTACCTCAGTTGCAGTTTGTCCCCAGCCCCAGGATGGGGTTGTGTGAGTGGCAACCAGTCAGTGTCTCTCTCTCATATCAATGTTTTTCTCTCTCTTCCCCCTTCTCTCCCTCCTGCTCTATCTGAAGATAAATGCAAAAAAACATGTCCTCGGGTGAGAATAAAAAATAAATAAACTGGTTTCTGAGACAGTTAAAAAATCCAGCAATCCAATAAAGTTTAAACCCTTTTCTTCAAGGTCCTTAGACAAGAACCAAGATGCTAAGCAGATGATTGCTGCCAAATTTAACCTAGGAAGACCCATAGACAATGCTATAAAAGACTATCTCTAATAAAGTCTTCAACCCTGGATCATTCAGAATGCCAAGAGGAAAGGGGTCCCATTTCCTTGTACTTACCTTTTTCAGATAAGCTAAAAGGCTCTGTAAAGCCACAGAATTAAACAAAAGGATATTACTTCAGCATCAGTATCAATTAAGAGGCTATTAACATATATAATCACATTGAACATTCATTCAATTATACATTTATTAATCTCTACTTGTTCTAAGTCAGAAGCCATTCTAGGTGCTGTGGGATCCTAAGATAAACAAAACAATGTATTCTTAACCACAAGCAGCTCTGTTTATTTGAAGAAAAAAGTAATATTTTAAGCCATCATTAATTCACAATTGCAGTAGACACTAATTCACAGCTGAAACCAAACGTTTAAGAGAGATGGGATAGTGGGAGTACACCAGAGGAGTGAGTGGGCAGGAGACAGGACCACTGAAAAGACAGGAAAAAGAAACTGTGGCATATTCCTGGCCTTGGGAGTCAGAGACTCATTCAGAGTCCAGATCTGCTATTACCAGCAATGCAAAGAATTTTGTTTTCACAACTAGTGTGTTTTATATTTAAAATGTTTTAATTACCAAAAAATTCTGTATTTCATAGAGTTTTAAAGATCAAATAAGAACATTGATGAAAGTATGTAGCTCAGAGCTTATCAGTGGAAAGATCGACTAGTATACAAATTTTTTTAAATACAGTATCCCTTAATGAGTGTTCAATATAACTTTGTTAATATAACTTACATTAATACATTTTGTGAATACAACTTTGTTCATGATGACAACAATGCTGAATGATAGAGTGAAGGAATGGGGTTAGCAAAAAAGTAAAACCTTTCAAATCAGCCACACCTAAAGTCAAATTAAGTTCCAGCACTTGACAGCCAACTGTCTTACCTTAAGAAAGTTTTATCATCATAGATAAATTTTACAGGGTTTAAAGATGAAATATTAGGGATAAAAACCTTCAACATAGTGATTGACACTCCTCACTCTCCAGGACTCCTAAGTAAACTCATTTCACAGCTGTACTGGACACGTGAGTTCTGGCTCTCCGAATGCAAACCCAGCACTACTTGAGCCCCTCCCCCTTCTTCTCCTAGGGTGAGACATTTCTTCTCTCTGCCCTCTGGTGGTGAAGCATGGCTTGCAGCCTAAACGCTAAAGCGATGCTCCCCCTGGGGATGCGCATACTTTACAGGGATGGTACAGCAGGCCTGTCAGGGCTGGTGGTGACAATGGCAGGGTCTGTGGCAGAATCTCAACGGCCTGGCACCCTAGCCCCACAATGATTTCTCACCAATTCTGTAAGCTACTCACACCCATCCAATAAATTCATTTTCTCCCTATCTAGTCAGTACCTGCTGTTTATAAACAAGAACCCTAACTAGTACACTTTTGTAAAAATAGAAGTAAATTAATATCAGTGCCAAGAAATTATTTTTAATATCTTCTTCTCCATGACTGAATATACAAAGATAATGGAAGTAACGTATTCTTCTGCTGTAAAGATGGGTGGAATATATCAAAATTCACTTGTTGAATTTTCTTTAAATAGTCTTCCAGAGCAACCTGGAAAAAGAAAAAAATGGTCACTAGATCATAGAATGATTAAGTCTTTAAAAGAAACAAAATAAAAATTGCAAGTATTAAGGCTATTTTAGTTTCCCTGAGATGGTCTTCTACATACTAAGAATTTAAATGAGAATTTTAAAAGGAAGTGAGAAAATAGAGACATCTTCTAAGAAGCATCTATTAGGCTAGTAAAACAGGATCATAGAGCTAGTACTACCCACATCATTTCTGATTCTGGTCAAAATGTAAAATATCAGAGAAATTACTGTTTGCCAGATTTTATTACTAGACTCTGTAGAACACAAAAGAAGTATTTGAATCAAGGAGAATGAATATCACCACCACAAAATGCATTGTGTCATGAGAAGGAGCTCAAGCTGCTTAAAAAATTGTATTGTGAAAAAGTTTTTTAAAATATATTTTTATTGATTTTTAGAGAGAGAGGAAGGGAGAGGGAGAAAGATAGAAGCATTGATGTGAGAGAGAACCATCAATCAGCTTCCTCCTGCATGCCCCTCACTGGGGATTGGGCCCACAACCAGGGCATGTGCCCTGACCGGGAATCAAACCAGTGACCTCTTGATGCATGGGTCAACGCTCAACCACTGAACCACACCAGCAGAGCTATTTTGAAAAAGTTGAATGGGTCTCCATGTTCTTGCCAGAAAATGCACCCAAGGAGAACAAGTCCCTACAAATGTCATCCATGCTTCCTACATCACACAAAACTTGACAAAGTTTTCATTGCAATGGGGGAGCAAGGTTGGAAAACATTGAATGGCAGTGTTCTTTATGGTTCTCACTTATTTTTACTATTTTATAAATTATTTTATTTCAGTAACTTTCTCATTAAACAGAGAAGCCATTTCGTTTTGCACTGCATAATTCTAAAGGTACCGCTCCCTTGTCAGTCCATGTGCACAGCTGCCCCTGGGGTTCTTCCGCATAACCTGTGTGATCCACTGGGATCATGCTTGTGGATTCTCTAGACTCTGGAGTATACAGATAGGCAACAACAACAAAAAAAGGATTGGGTTTTCTCTGATTTTTTCCCCCTATAAATTTATAAACAGATGATTGTACATATAAACAAATTCAGTATCTACTTTTTAAACCCTAAATTTATTTATATATACATATATATCAGGCAAAATGTGCATGAAAGGACACAGCTGCCTTGTGTTATAGCAGCAAAAAAAACCCAGTTCTTTGACAAAAAAAAGAAATAAACCTCACACAATATTATGCTGTAGTAAAATAGATGTACAATAACTATATGCAATAATATGAATAATCTTAGAAACGTGTGTTTGTGCCCTGGCCGGTTTGGCTCAACGGTTAGAGCGTTGGCCCGTGGAACAATGAGTCATAAGTTCAATTCCGGTCTAGGGCATGTACCTCAGTTGCAGTTTGTTCCAGGCCCTGCTCGGGGCCCTGCTCAGGACTGTGTGGGAGGCAGCCAGTTGATATGTCCCTCTCACATCGATGTTTCTCTTTCTTTCCCCTTCTCCCTCTTTCTCTCCCTCCCTCCCACTCTATCTGAAGATAAATAGAAAAATATCCTTGGGCGAGGATTAAAAAAAAGAGAAACAGAAAATAACCCATTTTAATAAAGCTCATAAACAAAATTAAGCAACATATTGTTTAGGAATACATAAACTGGGGGAAAGTTTCTGCAAAATAATAATAAATAAAAAATTCCGGATAGCTACTTGGAGGAAGAAGGCAGAGAGGGAGGTAGTATAATTTAATGGTAACATTCTAGTTCCTGAATTGAGTGGCGAATTCATGGGTGTTCATTATGTTATACTGTATAATATATGCACACATATTACAGATATATTCATTTGTAGACATCAAATATTAAACATTTCAAAAAATAAAAGAATGAACAGCACTTTCTTTTACATTTTGAAAACAGAGCCCATGTTATTTAAAATGTTCTGTAATCTGTTTTATCACTTAATATATTGCGATCAACTTTCCATCTCTAAGAATTCTATTATGCTTATTTTAATTGTTTTATAATATCTAATTATAAGAAATAGTTAGTGAGCCCTGGATGGTTTGGCTCAGCAGTTAGAATGTTGGCCCGAGGACCGAAGGGTTGCAGATTCAATTCCTGGTCAAGGGCACATACCTGGGTTGTAGGTTTATGATCCTTGGCCCCAGCTTGGGGACGTGCAGTAGACAACCAATCGACGTGTTGCTCGCTCTCTCTCTCTCCCCTCTCTTTCTCTTTCTCTCCCTCCCTTCCTCCCTCCCCCCACCCTTCTGCTCTATCTAAAAGAAAAAGAAAAAAAAATCAACAAAAAAATATCCTTGGGTAAGGATAAAAAAATTGTTAATGAAATTAAGGTACAGGCACATAGTAGAATGTTATACAGCCATTAACTATTTTATTTATAAATATGTTAATGATGTGGTTAAATGCTTGCTAAGCAGGACACTGAAATATAAAGTGTGATTTCAACTATACACAAAAATTCATTACAAAAAAGAACAGAATAGCCCTGGCTGGTTTTGGTCAGTGGTTAGAGCTTTGGCTCATGGACCAGAGTCTCAGGTTCGATTCTGGTCATGGGTATGTCCTCTGTTGCAGTTCAGTTCCCGGTCCTGGTCAGGGTTGCAGGAGGCAACCAATCAATGTGTCTCTCTCACATCGATGTCTCTCTCTCTCTCTCTCTCCCTCCCACTCCATAAAACACACAAAAAAAACAACAGAATTAATAGTGGTTTGTCTCTGCATCCTGTAATTATAGATAATAGTTATTTTTTTCTGATATTCTTTTTATGTTGTCCAAATCTCTATTATAAGAAGGTATTTCTTTTACAATTAGAAAATTCCATTAAAATACAGATGACATATGACCTCAAAATTAGAGCTCAACTGGACATTCACAAATTAGGACTTGGTTCAAAGGAAAGTTTGGCGAATAGTAAATAAATTGTTTAATATAACAAATTCATTAAAAACTCTCAAAGACATTACAATTTCTGAATATGGCATATTAAAGCTTTATCTATGAAAAAGAATATACTATACCCTAATCCAGTCATTTTCAAATAGTTTTTAAACAGCAAAACCTTTTCTTTGAATAAAATAATTAACAGATGCCCCATATATAAAATAAAGAAGAAATGTGTCCCAGCTGTAATGAGGATATAGGACAGTAGCAGTCCTTTTGGAACTGCCATGTAGTCCCTCCAGTTTCTCCTGGAACAGATGGGAACCGAGAGCCAGGCTCCAGCCCCAGGTCTGTCATGGGGCCCAAGATCTGCATTTCAAACAAATTCCCAGGTAATACTGATATTGCTGGTCCAGGTACCACACCCTGAGAACCACTGGTCTAAGGTAGTGGTTCTCAGGCCTAGCTGCACTTCACAATTACTAGGGTAGTTTTTAAAAAGTATCAATGTCAGGATCCAAACTCTTAGATATTTCAGTTTAATTGGTTTGGGGAGGGGCCCAACATCACTTTGGTTTTTTGAGTTGGTTTTTTAAAGTTCCCCAAGTGATTCTAATGGGCAACCAAAGTTAAGAACATTTTTCACACAAGTGAACAAACCTAAGTCCTTAACCTTCATGGGAGCTTAACTTAAAGAGTAAATTAAAAACAGGTGACGGTGCATCATCAACTATCATGGCATACCATCATTAAGACTGAAAAAAAAAAAAAGATAACCATTAAAAATGGTGATATAGAACAGTATGTGTTGACACAAAAAGAAAGGCTTGACAACACTCCATTCATACAAAACATACATATGTAATTTATGAACATAAAAAGTCCAGAAACATGAATGACTATCTCTGGAAATGATGAAATGTCAGAGGATTCTTATTTCTTCTTTTGCCTCCTCTTATATTACGTGAACATCTAAAATATTAACATAACCAAAAACATATTTCACAGAACAAACACTCCAAAAATTTATATGGAACCAAAAAAGAGCCCAAATAACCACAGCAATCTTGAAAAAGAAGAACAAAGCAGGAGGGATCACATTACCAGATTTTAAGTTATACTACAAAGCCACTGTAATCAAAACAGCCTGGTACTGGCACAGAAGAACAGGCAGCTAGATCAATGGAAAAGAATAGAGAACCCAGAAATGGACCCAAGACAATATGTTTAATTAATATTTGACAAAGATGTCAAGAACATACAGTGGAGTCAAGACAGTCTCTTCAATAAATGGTGTTGGGGAAATTGGACAGGTACTTACAAGAAAATGAAACTAGACCACAATTCACACCATACACGAGAATAAACTCAAAATGGATAAAAGACTTAAGTGTAACTCGTGAATCCATAAAAATTCTAGAAGAAAATGCAGGCAACAAAATATCAGACATAATACGTAACAGAATTTTCACTGATACAACACCTAAGGCAAGAGAAAACAAAGGAAAAAATGAATACATGGGACTACATCAAACTAAAAAGCTTCTGCACAGCAAAAGAAACCATCAAAATGGAAAGGGATCCCACTACATGAAAGATCATAATTGCCAATGATGCATCAGATAAGGGGTTAATTTCCAAAATACATAGAATGCTCATACAACTAAACAAAAAGAAGACAAAGAACCCAATTAAAAAATGGGCAGAGGACCTAAATAGACCTCTCTCCAAAAAGGACATACAAATGGCCAAGAGACATATGAAAAAATGCTCAATGTCACTAATCATCAGAGAGATGCAAATTAAAACAACTATGAGGTATCACCTCACACCTGTCAGAATGGCCGCCATCAACAAATCATCAAACAAGTGTTGGCGAGGGTGTGAAGAAAAGGGGACTCTAGTACACTGCTGGTGGGAATGCAGACTGGTGCAGCCACTGTGGAAAACACTACGATGTTACCTCCAAAAGTTAAAAACTGAACTGCCATTTGACCCAGTGATCCCACTTCTAGGAATATACTCTAAGAAACCTGAAACACCAATCAGAAAGAATATATGTACCCCTATGTTCATAGCAGCACTATTTACAATAGCTAAGATCTGAAAACAACCCAAATGTCCATCAGTAGAGGAGTGGATAAAAAAGCTGTGGTACATGTACACAATGGTATACAATGCAGCTGTAAGAAAGAAAGATCTCTTATCCTTTGAGATGGCATGGAAGGACCTGGAGAGTATTACGCTAAGTGAAACAAGTCAAGCAGAGAAAGACAAATATCACATGATCTCACTTAATAGTGGAATATAATGAACTAAACAAATGAATGAACAAAATTGACCCAGAGACACAGAAGTGGGGTGCAGACTGACAAGCCTCAGAGGAGGAGGGTTTGGGGCCAGAGAGATAAACCATAGAACTTACATGCATGTATGCATGACCAATGGACATAGACAACAAAGCTGGGGATGGGGAGGAAAGTGTCAACGGGGGGAAAAGGAGAAACATCTGTAACAAAAACAAATTAATAAAAAATAATAATAAATATATATTAACATATTACTTTTATAATAAGTGAACCCAGTAAAGAAACAAAATGACTTCAAACACTCAGATCTGAGACCTAGGATAGAAGATATGAAAGGATAGAAATGAATCTTTAAATATATTTTTGGGAAGAAGGTAGAAGATATGTTTGGTATTGTAGAAAATGCGTAGGTTTCCAATGTTCAAATATCACAAATCTTTGAACTTTGTTTTCTCTCTATAAAATGAAGTAAACCAGGTCTAAGGACAATTAGAAATAATGTATTTTAAATGACCTAATTCAGAGCCTGTCATGTAATGGGTGCTAAATAACTGGAAGCTATTCTCATTTCTTTATATATTTCCCAATAGTGATTCCCAAACCTGGCTACACATCAGAATTATCTGAGGTATTTTTAAAAATCACAGTTTCCCCTAGAAATTTCCCCCTCCTCAATCCCAAGTCTTATTTAATAATAAGACCCCAGGAATCTGTATTTTTTCAAAGCTTTCCAGGCTATTCCAACGCAGCAGCTCAGTACTGGTCTGTGAACCACAATGTGAGAAAATATTACTAGAATAATAAGTAATACTCATATAGCTATAAGTAGCCTAATAATCCTACAAAACTGTGTCTCATATGATTCCCATTTCACCTATGAGTATATGGAGGAACATGGCGGTTAATGACCTTAAACTCCCACGGCTAGTAAGTGGCAAAGTAGATTCAAACTGATGCAGTCTGGCTGCAGTCAATGCTACTGCCTACTCCACTCACTTGCCTCTGGGAAATACAGGCATGACCATTACCAAAAGCAGAATGCAACTAAAACCCACCATAAGAAAGAGAAACAAAAAATAAAGCCTACAAACTTAAGAACTGCAATTGGAACCTCATAAAATAGAAAAAGAGATCACATACACTTGTTTTATTAATTGAACAGCCTTCCCTGTTAATGTACTTACTGTCTGAAGAAAAGCAGGAAATGCTCTCACAGGAACACTTTTGTGGAAGGACCTAGCCTAAAAAGGAAGACAAAAGGAAACTGGTTTGAAATATAAATATTTCTGGAAATGAACACTCTCCCTCAGAAAGTGAACATAAAGCAACACCAGCAGTTTAACGACACAGCTAGGGCTTCTCTCAAAAGCAAGAAAACAGTTCTCATCTCTTGCAGATTATAATTAATTTCTTAAGCCTAAAAGGACTCGGGAAAAAGTACTATATTAAGAATTCCAGCCCTGGCCGGTTTGGCTCAGCGGTTGGAGCGTCGGCCTGAGGTACAGAGAGACCCGGGTTCGGTTCCCGCTAAGGGCACATACCTCGGCTGCAGTTTGTCCCCGGCCCTGGTTGGTCGTGCGGGTGGCAGCCACTCGATGTGTCCCTTCATGTTGATGTTTCTCTCTCTCTCTCTCCCTCCCGCTCTATCTGAACAAAAAATGGAAAAATGTCCTCGGGTGAGGATAAAAAAAAAAAAAAAAAGAATTCCATTCTTTCTTACAAATTGGCTGTCATTTTCCAGCTGCCTTATAACATCTTATAACTTTGACCCTCTAGCTCTGTGGTTGGGGTAAATGAAGAAATACTTGCGTTAAGTCCCAGCACCTCCCAGCTTAGATTGTCATTATCTCCTGTTTAGATGAATATAATATCCTCCTAGCTGATCTTTCTGCCTCTGTGTTCCCCAACCTTGAATTCATTCCACACAGCCAGCCAAATTAATGTTTTAAGTCATTGTTTTATTTTTATTTTCTTTAACTTACGTCCCTGATAGATCAAGTCTCAAAGATTCATCTTGGGATTCAGAGGCCTCCACATCTTGACTAACCTCATCTATCTAATTCACCACCCTACTACTCTGGACAATGAAGCCCTGAGGTACTCAGGCCAATGTCCATTATCCTGCACTGACCTAGCCCACTCCTGTTTCCAGGTCTTCATTTATACGGTCAGATACCACCTCTACTTCCTGACTCACATCTTAACCCCCTACCCTCTCTTTTAACCTGTCTACTAAAATTGCTCTCTTCAAAATCATTCACGATTTATCAATCATCCTACCTCTTGTCTCTTCATCTACCTGTAGCATGCACAATTTTACTATTCCACCTTCTTGGAATCTGCTCCTCTCTTGATTTCTAACACAATGACTCTCAGTTTTCCTACCTCTTTGATCATTCTTCCCTTCTTCTTCTGCTTCCTAATAAATGCCCTAGGTCCTCTTTTCCAGATGTACATTCTCCTTGGGCAACACCATCCAAACTTAGGTCTTCCATATAGATCACTCTCAAATTCCTCTTCAATTCTGATCTCCTTTCTAAGTCACAATCCTGCATTCTTCAATAGCCCATCTCCCTAGATGTCTTCTAATACCCTGTAAAATGATGTCCAGCAGCTAGTCTCAAGTCTATTGATAAGCTCCTGGTATACCATTGCATTTTTTTCTTTAAATTTTTTTTTTACTGAATTTTTTAGAGTGAGAGGAAGGGAGAGGGAGAGAGATAGAAACATCGATGACAGCCCTGGCCAGTTTGGCTCAGCGGTTAGAGCGTCGGCCTGCAGTCCGGAGAGGCCCGGGTTCGGTTCCCGCTAAGGGCACGTACTTCGGTTGCAGTTTGTCCCCGGCCCTGGTTGGTCATGCGGGTGGCAGCCACTCGATGTGTCCCTTCATGTCGATGTTTCTCTCTCTCTCTCCCTTCCTCTCTCTCCCTCCCATTCTATCTGTGCAAAAAATGGAAAAATATCCTTGGGTGAGGATTTAAAAATAAATAAATAAATAAATAAATAAATAAATAAATAAATAAATAAATAAATAAAAAAGAAACATCGATGACAGAGAACACTGACTGGCCGCCTCCTGCATCCCCACACCCTGGGGACCGGGTCCTCAACCTGGGCATGTGCCCTGACCAGGAATCAAACTGGCGACCTCTTGGTGCATGGGTCGATGCTCAACCACTGAGCCACACCAGCCGGGCCATTGCTTTTTTATTAGTCTCTGAATGGCACCATCACCATTTCTACTTGAACTCTGCACAGCCTTCAACTTCCCCTCTCCTTCGTCCTGCCAATACAATCAGTTATCAAGTCTAGTTGATTCTATCTCTGGGGTGTGTATATGTGTACATACACAAACACCTACCCTCTCTAAATCAGACACTCTATAAATGTAGCAAAAGGAGATTAGTTATTAGTGATTATTATTGGAGTAGGCAGGATAGAAGCCAAATTACAGCATGGTGAACAGTGCCAGGATGGTAAGGGCCTTGAGGTAACAATGAATGCAGACCACTTATTCAAAAAAGGTTAACTCTGAGGGAAAAATAAGAAACAGAAGGGTCCACAGGATGCCTATAACTTCAGAAGGCAGCAGCAGCAAACCAGAAGATAAAAAAAGAGACAAGTTATCAGAGAGGCCGACTGAAAACACCAGCTGGGACTGCTGAGGATGCAAGGTCCTGGGATGGTAGGAGAGGCATAAGCCTTGCAAAGCAGAAAGACACACTACCCCTGAGAGACAGAGAAATGTTGAGTGGATGATGAGAGAGGAGCCTAACTAAGAAAGCTCAGGCTTGACTTAGTAAAGTGTGTATACAACTGCTGAGGGGGTTCAGAAAGGGATATTTTTTTAAAAGTGGAGAAAGTTTACAATAGTCCCTGAGATAAATCCACTGAGATTTCAATGGGAGAGATGGAATATAGACTGCCAAGTAGGGAATAGTATAACCATGCTCAAGGAATAGCCACACCTAGAAATGACAGTTTCCTAAATGATTTGGCAAAAGAAAAGCAGGCTACGTACATGTTTTAGGTGCAAGTGGGCCTGGCTGGCAATGTCATATATCACATCTCTTACATTTTTATTTTGGTTCTTCCGTAGAAAATCCTCTTGTGAAACACCATGCTGTGTTGAAAAATACATTATATTAGCAATCAAAAAGGATACTTAAAACTAACTCAGCTCAAGAAAACAGGTGAGAGAACAGTATGTACAATATAATGCCTATTTTGTTTTTTAAAATGTATGTATGTGTATGTGTTTCTGTATCTGTGTATATAGAGATACACACATGCACTCTCGCTCCTGGAAGAATATGCAATAAGATAGTAATTAACAACAGCTGTAGGTAGAACAAAAATACACAAGCTAGAAAACTTTAAAAGCACAGACAATATGCCCAACTGGTGTGGCTCAGTGGTTGAGCATCGACACATGCACCAAGAGGTCTCTGGTTAGATTCCTGGTCACGGCACATGCCCAGGTTGTGGGCTAGATTCCCAGGTGGGACATGCAGGAGGCAGCCAATCGATGTTCTCTCTCATCGAAGTTTCTATCTCTCTCTCCCTCTCCCTTCCTCTCCCTCTCTAATATCAATAAAGAAAAAAAAATTAAAAAGAAAAAGTTGACAATAATGAATCTCATATAGAAAATAAACAATATTCTTTTCTTAAGGATTACTTCCTCCTTTAAAATAAAGAACAGACTGGCCCTAGCCAGGTAGCTCAGTTGATTGGAGCCTTGTCCCAATATGCTAAGGTAGCTGGTTTGATCCCCAGTCAGGGCACATACAAGAATCAGCCAATGAATGTAAAAATAAGTGGAACAACAAATCAATGTTTCTCTCTTTCTCTCTCTCAAATCAATGAAGAAATGAATTTAAAAATAACAGGCTAAGCCAAGCATTGGAATTGCTTGGAAGAGAGTAAGGCATCAACATGAAGCTACACCAAGTGAGGTTCTCCAGACTATCTTACTCATAACTCCACCAGACACCTAAAATGCCTGATTGATAAAAATTCTCACTTGATAACCATGGAGCCAAAAAGAAATATGCATTAATTTCAAAGTGGTTATTTGAATAGACTAAGCAGAGAATCAAGAGATAACATCCTTCCCATACTGCTAAGGTAAATTATTAGAGTGTACAAATAACAGCCTTACCAGCATACAAATATCCATGGGAAGGAACACCCTTCTTCTGCTACCATGATACGGCGTTGCTCTCAAGCAAGTGACAATGCCTTGTGCTTTTCCAATGTGACTTGCAGCATGATCTGCATGAAGATCCTTTATACCTATGATTTTGGAAATTAAACAATAACGCTGCTCTTTTCTCTTTAAGTGCATAAGTCAACAGAAGTAGCAAAGAGAAATCACCTAAACATGTAAAACTAGTTGTTTATCCTAATGTATTAATATCTGTAAAACAGGATATATGTGTAAAACTGGACACACAAACACGCTGACCACTAGCAGGTTTCTGAACTTCAGCTTTTAAATAAAAGAGTTTTCCTCAGACTAGAGCACACTAAGAACACATTTGGAATTTTAACCAGCTATCATGAAAAAACACTGCAAGTCTTTCATTTCTTCTCCTCAGTGTAATTGCCATAAGACCTCACTTTAAGTATATGCTTTGCAAACATTCTGTTCTTTGCTCCCTTCTTTCAGTGTGTTGGCAAACATGTCACTGAATGTGCAAGCAGACAGGTCTGGGAAATTCAATAGGGATCTGTGTTATTCTTTTAGGGTGACATAAAGATATATTACCTTCTTCAAAGGGATGGTATTGTCCTTGTCCCAGGGAACTTCCTCATTACAATAAGGCCTCCCCGACTTAGAATTAAGTTAGAGGAGAAAAAGTACCATCTAGATTAGTTCTTTGTTTTTGTTTTTAAAGAATTTCATAAAAATTTAAAAATGCAGATTTATTCTTTTTTTTTTTTTTTTTTAACGTGGGAAAATACTATTGGCAGGGAAGAAAGAGTAAAGCTACAAGCCTTTCAATTTGTAGGAATGATTAAAATATAAAATCTTTAGCAATCACCAGACTAACTACAACATTCCCATGAGGTAGCTGAAGTACTTTCATTAGAGCCTAAGTGCTCTGATCAGTCTACACTCCACAGAAGGACACACATTCCCTTTCTTGCTCAAAATAGAAATGCTATTTCTTTATAAATGATGAAAAGAAAAAGTTCAGTATTAAACTGGTTAGACTGTTGAATTTTGAAAGAATGAAGTCTGAAAGGTGTTTTATTTTAAAAAAAAAAGGTATGAAATAGGAAAAAAGAAAACCTTACCCAATATTTCTAGTGTTAAATAAAGAAGAGAACTCTGTGTGTTTTCTGCATAATTTTCTAGTTCCTGGATATTACGATATGCTTTGTCATCCAAATTTTTTTCCTATAGTCAAACAAAAGGCAAATAAAGTTGGCTGAATTATCAAAATTTATAAAGACACGATATTTTGCACAAAAGAACTGAAAAATAAAAATACAAGTATATTTTGTTTAGTACACACAATAAAATAAGATTAAAATGTGAAAGTTCTACACATTCAATCTTACAAATCACCCCTAAAAATAATACCTCAGGATTAATCTCAATGCACAAATCACTATGAACATGGATTAGCTTAATTTTTAATTCCTTTGAAAGCCCACATTATCATGAAAAACTGATTGTACTGAGCTATTAAGTACTTTAGATATTATCTTCTTAATCCTAGCATCCCCCCAAAGACAACAAAATAATACTTTTTCCATTTTGTAGATGAAGAAACTGTCTTTTAACTTTCCTGTGTTTCTTAAATTTTGATGAAGTCCAATTATATATTTTCTAATTGCTTGTGCTTTTGTTATCATATCTAAGAAATCACTGCCCATCCTGAAGTCACCAAAATTTATACCCACGCTTTCTCCTAATAGTTTTACAATTTTAAGTCTTACATTTAGGTCTTTGATCCACTTGGAGTGAGTTTTTGCATATAGTATGAGGTAGGAGTCCAAATTCATAATTCTGTATGTGGCTCTCCAGTTGTCCCAATACCATTTGCTGAAACGGCTGTTCTTTCCCCACTGAATTATCTTCTCACCCTTGTCAAAAATCAACTGACTATAAATATATGGGTTTATTGTTGGACTCTCAATTCTATTCTACTGATCTGTATGTCTGTGCTATGTCAATACCACACAGTTTGATTCCTGGAAATTTGTAGTTACATTTTGAAATCAAGAAATATGAGTCCTCCAACTTTGTTCTTTTTCAAGATTGCTTTGGTGATTCTGGGTGCCTTGCATTTCCATAAGAATTTTAGGATCAGCTTGTCAATTTCTGTAAAAAAGGCAGCTGGAATTTTTAAAGGCACTGCATTGAATCTATAGATCAATGAGTGAAGATTGATCCCAGTCCTTTACTTGTAAATATCCCTCCCTACAAATGCCAAGTGTTATTTCCCATTAAACAGAAAACTTATCTCTGTCTTAACTTCTCCAATTTTCTTTATGTCATAAAACCAGGAGACATCTGAAAAAAGATTTTCTTAGTGCTAATTAACTCTTTAAATCAACTAGGAACTTTTTCTTAATGTTGAAGCCATCATCTCATTTTGGCTTATATGTATTATTATTACCATAGCCTATGGTTATTAATAGATTATATCCACATAAAGTTAAGTAAACTTACATTTTCATGACAATAGTACATTATGAGTATCAGGCCAATGAGGACACTGAGCCAACAATGTGTCAGAAAGATTATACAGGTTAGCCCAGGTCACTGAGCAATTTGCATGCTTGGTTGGAACTAGAATAGAAGTCAGTTCTGAGAACTCAATATAGGATCCATCCACTAGAACCATCAGACTTTCCTTATTCCTTCTACTATTTAGATAGAGATCCAAGTACTGGCTGTACATAAAGGTATGTGTATGACTACTCAAGTTTTGATGAAAAATTACTTTAAAGATTAAAAAGGAAGAAAAACTTAAGACTTGAGCAATTTCAACTTACTCTTTCATCAATGATTCTCATAAGCCATCTTTTAGTCAGATTATGTCTTCTGACAGCCTAAAAAAACAAGAGTATTGTAAATTTTTAGAAAGTACTAGAAATGACTTCTGCAGACCTAAATAAAGATAAACAAACCAAATACAAAACTAGGTAAGGCAACATTTGTAATAACTCATCACTAGATAGATAGCTGTGCTAAAGAAATGCCAAGGAAAAAGAAAATGTTCCTAGGAAACATTTCCAAGTAGAGATAATATATCTAAAACTTTTCCACTAATCTTTTTTCTTATACTATTTGTAATTTAATGATTCCATAGTCAAAACAGGAATTAAATACTGAGCTTGTTATATGATGCACCCTGACTTCTAAGCTTACTTATTACACACAAACTTCTTTCCACAGAATAAAGATTCTAATTAATGAAACTAACCACTTCTCCAAAAAGAAAAATGTAACTAAAACTCTAAAGAAAATAATCTGCAAGGCACAGCATTACTTTAGTACGTAAAGAAACTGTAATGGGAAAGAGCACACCTGGTGCCCAGATCTTAGTCTTAAGAGAAATATCAACATTTCTCCCAAAGAAATAGGGCTCTAGATAAGTAAGTGGTTTCCAGAGTTGGGGCAAGGGAGATTTAATATGATCCTAGAATACTTTATTGTGCCAGAAAATAGAAACTGCTCAAAAAAATTATGTGAGGCTTGTCGTAAGGACACAAGAGCCAGTTTTAAAGGGCTCCCACTGTCCAAATCTGGGACTATTTGAACACCAAAATAATAAAGTATAGTAATGAACTATAAACTACTAAAAAAAAAATAGAACTCATGAGTTCATAGCAATAATTAATAGACAAATAAATATAGGAGAGTGAGAGATCTTGCTTACTGCCAAGTGGTAAAAAGTAGACAGAGTATTAGAATTGGAAAATTAGCATTTCGCAATCATAATAGTAAAGACTGAATCAGACAAGAACCATCAATGAATGCTAAGTTTCAGGGGAAATCAATAAGGAGTAGGATATTTGCACTGTCTCATAGTTGCCAAGGCAATTACAATTATACATCGAATTATACAGTGGAAAACCCAGCAACACCTTGACTGGATAATGAAAATTATCACATATGATACTCTAAGAAGAAGACACTGTCTATGAAGTATTATGGCCAAGAATGCACAACCTGAATGTGATGAGAAAACATCAGATGAACCCAAAATGAGGAATGTTCTATTAAAAAAAAATTTTGGAGGGGCTATACCCTTCAAAAATGTCAATGTCACAGAAGACAAAGAAGGCTATAGAAATGTTCCAGATTAAAGTAGACTAAAGAGATATGACAAATAGTACCTGACCCTAGACTGTATCCTATACTAGAGGGAAAAACACTACAGTGGACATTACTGGGGCAATTCACAAAACTGGAATATAAATAGAAAATCAAATAAAAAGTGTTATATCAAAGTTAAATTTACTAAAGCCAGTAACTGTTCTGGTTATATAAGAGAATGTCCCTATTCTTAGGAAATACTCTCTAAAGTATTTAGGGATAAAGAGTCACAATGTATATAACTTACACTCCAAAATGATACAGAAAAAAAATTAAGAATGTGAAAATACATTATCTATCTACCTACCTATATGTATATGTATGTGTACGTGTGTGTGTGTGTGTGTACACATTTAGATAGAGAGAACAAGATCATGCACACACACAAGTGAGCAGTACAAATGATTGACAAATGGGATAAAATGTTAACAATAGGTAAATCTGGGTAAAGGGTATAGAGATATTCTTATTATACTACTTTTAATTTTGAAACCTTTCTGGAAGTTTGATAAGTTTTAAAACCATTGTTTTCTTACCAAACCAACACTAAGTATGATATATTTTCACAACAGTTAATAGTAAAACATGAATTCTCTGGTATATTGTATACTTCAACTAAGACTCTAAGATGTCATTGACAATAAAACATAAAGGCTAGCTAGCATGCTCCTTGATATACATTTATGTCACAGGGGATGCAAGTATGGAGAACAGAACCCACTTTGCCTGGCAGAAATCTAAAAGAAACTAACAGGGCTGCACAAAGTTGGCTCTCAAGTGCTCTCAGCCCTACTAATGTGACATAGCAGGACTTCCCACAATCTCCTCTCCCCAATCCCAGGAACCCACTGGGGATGCCTCAGTCTTTAGAGAGTTCTGCTCTTGTTTTATTTTGTAAATGTCTGAGTGGGGCAGGGTATGTTTGATCTTTGTAACCATACCATCAAACACCATTCCTGGAACATAAAAGCACTCAATAAATATTAAACCACTGAAAAGTCATACTCTTATTTACTTAAGGATGAAGTTATAAAGACTACAATTCCTTGACCACAAAATATAGTTTTCTGTCTCATTCTGAGGGAAATCAGAGATCAAGGTAAAAAATAAATATTTGTAAGAAGCTGAATAAAGCATTAAAACTTTGAAAACAATAAAAACCTTGGCTATAAACATAAATTTAAACTGCAATGTTAATAAACAGAGAAATGGAGAAACCCATATGAGATGTGCAAGAAATTACAGATTTTTAACTGTTTTGCAACCTAAAAGCACCAATGAAACAGTGCAGCAGGAAAGTGTTCTCTGGACAACACAGTCACTGTTTCCCTACTTATCTTCCAAAGAACCTGATACCCTTCAAAGAACCAATGGAAATTTTTACTGGACAGTGGTAAAATAAGCATATGCTACTGCAGAATGAAGAGGGATAAAAAACATACAACGAGGGTAAATGCTCTGAACATCACCTGCTTCTTTCAAATATTCATATTAAACTTCAGCACTGGTCGTATAAAAAAGCTGGCCGACATTAATCATCAAAATTTAAGCAGCTATTATAAAATTGGACAAGTTGGCACACATGTAAACATTCTGTAATTCAAATATGTCTTCTGGGTTTTTTTAAGAAAAGCCAAAGCAAGATAAATTTGGGTTAAAGGAATCTCGAATTTTCACATTTCCTGACAAAGGCCAGAACTTTCAATGCAAGTATTACATAAACCTCTACTGCAGTCAGGTTTGTATATAAAATAATAATCAGAAAGAGTTTCTGGACTTTAGAGAAACTTTTCTCTAAACTGAGTCACCTAGGTTGAAGTTATTGAAGTGGGATGAGTAGGGGTAAACAACTAATCTAATACTCACAGCTTCCCATCCACTTTTTCTTCAGTCCCCGGTGGAGGGGCCTGGCTTTCCATCTTTACTGGGGCTCTGTGAAGTCAGTCTGGGGCCCAGACACAGGGTCTGCCTCTGCTGGTGCACAGACCTGAGAAGAGGTGTACCACTGTCAGGTCTTCAGTGGTTCCTGTTACAGACACTGTCTTTTGGCACTTATCATATTACAATGGGGACACAAATTAGTGACAAAAGGCACCTAATTCCCTTCCTCTGTTAATAATTTAGCATATTTCTAAACTATGTATAGCTGTTTATGAATGAGGGTTCCATATAGCTGCTTTAATGTAAAACTACTACATACATCTAGCTATATAAATAATACTCTAGCCCATAGGTTTTTATTCTCTACTATCTAAAATTCATCAGTGAATAGGCAACTCTATCAAACTAGAAAGGCAGTTTTAGATGTGTGTCTGGACAACAGTGAGAGCATGTCTCCTTTCATAGGTAGAACAGAAAACTTACCTGGCATTGCTTCAAAATGTGTAGGTTTTAATTCTGCAACCAAATATGTGGAAAATAATTTATAACAAAAAAAAGACCAGATCCCTCTTTTTTCCTTTAATAAAGAAATACATCAAAGATCTGTGCAAATTATTAGTGGGTAATTTTAAATTCTTCAGTTCAAACTAACATATATCTGAACATTACATGAGTCTAAGAATATTTTCAGGATAGACTGCCCATCGCTATTACCCAAATTGTATGCATCAGAAAGTATGCTCAAATAAAATTCTTACAAATTAATTGCAGCAATTCTTTTTTTACCTTCCATAGTTCAATGGCCACAGGCTGATGTGGTGGATTGTCACTGTATATATCATCCACAGTTCTTTTCCAAAACTGCATTCGCATCAGTCCAATTGTTTTCTCAGAAACTGAATCCTTAATCTATAAATAGCGTTTAAAAACTTTAATAAATGCACTGTACGATCTCAAAAATCACTATTTGTGACTATAATCACATAATTCAGTCAAAAACTAACTTTAATTCTATACATTTGTTTTAATTTTTCCTTGAAATTAAATTGTCATCATGAATCAGAGATTTTGGAAGACAAGGTAGCAGAATACACCCAATCGAACAACAAAAAGAAAGAAAGAATCCAAAAAAAATGAAAGTACTAAAGGGTCTCTGGGACCACATCAAGTGTAATAACATTCTCATCATAGGGTTATCAGAAGGAGAACAGAGAGAACAAGGAATTGAAAACCTCTTTGAAAAAAATGATGAAAAAGTAACTTGGCCAAAAAAATAGACATACAAGCCCAGGAGTGCAGAGAGTTCCAAACAAAATGAACCAAAAGTGACCCATACGAAGACACACCATAATTAAAATGCCAAAGGTTAAAGACAAAGAGAAAAGCAGTTAGCTACCTACAAGGGAGCTCCCATACAACTGTCAGCTGATTTCTCAATAGAAACTTCACAGGCCAGAAGGCAGTGGCAAGAAATATCCAAACTGAGAAAAAAGCAAGGACCTACAATCATGACCACTCTACCTAACAAAGCTATCATTTAAAATTGGAGGACTAATAAAAAGCTTCTCAGACAAGAAAAAGCTACAGGAGTTCATCACCACCAAACCAGTATTATAAGAAATTATAAAGGAACTTCTCTAAGAAGGAAAAAATAAATAAAAAATATGAAGAGTAAAATGGCAATAACTACATATCTATCAATAATTACTTTAACTATAAATAAATTAAATGCTCCAATCAAAAGACATAGAGTTGCTGAACAGATAAGAAAACAAGACTCTTACATATGCTGTCTACAAGACATTCATTTCAGATCAAAAGACACACACAGATCAAAAGTAAAGGGTATAAAAATGTTTTATCAAAATGAAAACAAAGCAGCTAGGGCACAAATACTTATACTAAACAAAATAGACTTTAAAACAAAACCTATAACGAGAGACAAAGGACATAGCAACTCTACTTTTGAATATTTATCCAAAGAAACCTAAAACAAAAAGACACATGCATCCCTGTATTCATTGCAACATTATAGCCAAGATATGGAAGCAACCTAAATGCCCATCAAAAGATGAATAGATAGCCCTGGCTGGTGTGGCTCAGTGGTTAGAACGCCATCCTGTGTACCGAAGGGTCGAGAATCTATTCCTAGTCAGAGCATACACCCAGGTTGTGTGTTCAATCCCTACTCAGGGTGTGTATGGTAGGCAACCGATCAATGTTTCTCTCTCACATCAATGTGTGTGTGTGTGTGTGTGTGTGTGTGTGTGTCTCTCTCTCTCTCTCCTCCTCCTCTCCCTTTCTCTCTCTAGAATCAATGTAAAAAAAACACAGCTCGGCCAGTGTGGCTCAGTGGTTGAGCATCGACCAATGCACCAAGAGGTCGCCAGTTCAATTCCCAGTCAGGGCACATGCCCGGGTTGTGGGCTCAATCCCCAGTATGGGGTATGCAGGAGGCGGCCAATCAATGTTCTCTCTCATTGATGTTTCTCTCTCCCTCTCCCCTTTCCTTCCTCTCTCTCTCTCCCTAAAATCAATAAAGGAAAAAAAAAATCATATCCTCAGGTGAGGATTAAAAAAAAGATGGATAAAAGAAGTGGTACATACATAAAATGGAGTATGACTGTCATAAAAGAATGAAATCATGCCCTGGCTGGTTTCACTCAGCGGTTAGAGCATCAGCCTGCGGACCAATGAGACCCGGGTTTGATTCCGGCCAAGGCCACATACCTTGGCTGGGTCTGTCCCCGGCCCTCGTCGGGGTCACGTGGGAGGCAACCAGTTGATGTGGCTCTCACATCAATGCTTCTCTCTCTCTCTGTCTCTCTCTCCCTCTCTACCTCCCTCCTAATCTGTCTAGAGATAAATGGAAAAATATCCTCAGGTGAGAATAAAAAAAAAAAAAAAAAAGAAGAAGAAATTTTGCCATCTGCAATAACATGGGTGAATGTAGAGGGTATTGTGCTGGGTGAAAATAAGTCAGGCAGAGAAAGACAAATATCACATAATTTCACTTATGTGTGGAATCTAAAAACAAAATTAGTGAACAAAAAAAAAAACAGTAACAAACTCTAGATACAGAGAACATTTTGATGGTTGCCAGATGGAGAAAGGGGGTTGGAGGGGGATAGGTAAAAATGCTCAAGGGATTAAGAAGTACAAATTGGTAGTTACCTATAGTCATGGGGATGTAAGGTATAGCATAGGGATACAGTTAATAATATTGTAATAACTATGTATGGAGTCAGATGGGTACTAAATTTATCGAGGTGATCATTTTGTAAGTTATATAAATGTCTGATCACTATGTTATACACATGAAACTAATATAATATTGTATGTCAACTATAATTTAAAAATAAAAAGTTATTTTTAAAGCAATGCTTTAAAAACATTTTTTTCTTTATTTATTTTAGAGAGAGAGGAAGGGAGAGGTAGAGAGAGATGGAAACATCGATGAGAGAGACCATCAATTGGCTGCCTCCTGCATGCCTCCAACTGGGGATTTGGCCCATAACCTGGGCATGTGCCCTAACCAGGAACCGAACTGGTGCATGGGTTTTAAAAAATTTTTATTAAATGCTTTTAAAAAACTGTTATAGTCATCCCCTGGACTGAGAGATCCTGGTCAAGGTAAATGCCCAGAGTTGCGGACTCCATCCCCAGTAGGGGACGTGCAGAAGGCAGCCGATGGGATGTTTCTGTCTCACATCAACGTTTCTCTCTCTCTCTCTCTCCCCCCTCCCCTTCCTCTCTCTCTAAAAAAAATCAATAAAAAACATTTAAAAAACTGCTATATGCAAACATTAGAGACTAGCAGTAATACTTTAACCTATACAATTAACAAACAAATGTGCAATGTTAACTGCATAGTTTTATAATATCCTTAAAAAAAGAAAAATTTTCCAGAATGGTATTTCGAGAAACAGTAAGTTCATTAGCTAGTTTTATTTTTGGAACTGAATTGTTAAGCCTAAATAGGGGGAAAAAATAACCAGCAGAGACCTTAAATACATCTAACATATAAATTACAATTGTATTTCTTTATTGTTCAGCATTAAACACATTATATCACCATTTTTTGCAAATAATTTTTAAGGTATTTTAATACCAGCCTGAGCCAGTTCCACATTGAAGGCTTTTAGTGCAAAAGCAGAGCTTCTGGATTCTGCAGGAAGCAGCAGGGAGCATAAATAGCCTTCATAATCTCGTTTCCTATAACAAATAGGCAAAAAAAGACAGTTACTTTTGACTTCCAACCTGCACACAAAAAAATACTGACCAGAATTACCTGAAAACAATTAGGTTTCAATTCAAACTAGGCCTGAAATCTCTTATAGTCTATACCTATTTCTCTACAGGTACTAAAAATGTATCTGCCCACAATCCCAAACCAGTTAAAAATAAGAAATAATCAATCTCTATTAATTTACTGACTTATATAGTACTCATAATTTTAATTGTTTCAGAATCACTTTGTAAAAATTCAAATGAGCTACCAAAGTAGAAATCAAGAAAATAGTTACAGCAAGCACTGGTAAGAACTCACAGTTTTTAATACCTAGATAAATAAACAGATTAACCATAAAGACAGAAAACAATATAGGGGTGACGGGGTGCTCATGTGTATGCACAACCACTCACACACTGTACTTATGTTTCCTAGCAGTGTCTGCTAAGAGAGCCTAGAAGCAATGATACCCCTCCCACCCTGGCTCAAGTATCAGCGAACACACCTGACACCTAGATCTTGGTTTCTAAATACCTTTCTCCACTGAAAAAAAGTAGGGATTCTTGGAGGACTAATTGACTTTAGTTACCTAAGAACTGTCTCTCATAGTGAGAAATGCCATATTATGATAAATTTATTCAGCAACAAGGCCAATAATCTTTCATTCATTGTAACATTTATTCAGTGCCTACTATGTGCTGAGCGCTGTGCTAGACACTGAAGATAGGCATAGACTTCAGTCTAGTAGAGAGAGAAAAACATATGAAATAAACTTATCTGGTGTTAGGACTGCTGTGATTCTGTGGTAGGCAGTTAGACAGAGCAAGGACAATGGGCCAGGTACAGAAGGTCACCAGTGCAAAAAGCCCCAGGTGCCTAACAAAGGGCAATTGCAGGGTGGGACACCACCACCCCTGCCCCAAGGGTGACCTTTCCTCCCCTTGCATATTGTTGGTCATGTGGTTTGGATCCCCTAACCTCTTCTCCCTAGAGATAATATCTAGGCCTCAGTTATATTTCAGCTCCAGGCCCAGAAAAGCAGCAAAACCAGACCAGTGACCTCACAGCTGACCTCAGGACCAGCTGCATTGGATAATGACACCCCATCCCCACCCCACCCCTAGCACTGACCAATCAATCAGTGGAGACCATGACCCTGAAAGGACACACCTGAAAAGCTGATGAATAGTCTATTAAGATTGGCCCCTGGCCCTAAAATCTTCACCCTTAAAACCCTTAGGATGGAGGACCAGGCACACTCTCCCCCCTCATCCCTCCCCTGGGAGCACACCCTGGCCTTTCCCTTTTCCTTCCTTCCCCCTTCCCTCTCCTCCCAGGTGCATTAGTTACCATTACAGTACCTTCCTCGCTCCCAAGCTCCAAGAGCCCTTCTTTACCTCTATAACTCGTTTCCTAAACCCATTTCTTCTACAAATTACTTCTACCTCTGTGATTTTCCAAATAAATATTCTCTTATAGTTTGAGTCTTGGCTCTGAATTCTTTCCTAGCCAGAACTCAAGTACTAAAGTTGCTGAACAACCTCATGTAAGAGGCCTTGTATAAGATACAAGTCCAGTGGGACCCCACCAGTCTAACACCCTGTGCTGTTCCCACCACCCACAACAATCCCATGGACATGTGCCATGGTTGAACTAGTTCCCCAGTGAGGCTGGAAGAGGATGGAGAACAAATGCACTTCCAGACACCACCACTAGCACCTCCTTATTATAGCACCAATCCCAAGGCCTGAGGCAGCAGTTCCTCAAAACCAAACCCCAAGAAGTCTATGTAAATTAGGTTTGAGATTTTTTCCCAGGAACCTAGATTCCTAAGAGAGCCCTGGCTAGCTAACCTGAAGTTGTAGCCTGGTATCTTTTCTGATATTTGGAGGCCCTGCATAAGATACATGTCTGCAACAACCCTGCAAATAATTTCGGAGGCCAAATCTTGCAACAATTAATGGACAGTAAGAAGCGGCCTGGCCTGTGTGGCTCAGTGGATTGAGTGTCATTCCATGGACTCAGATGTCCCCGTTCGATTCCCAGTCAGGGCACATGCCCAGGTTGTGGGCTCAATCCCCAGTAGGAGGCGTGCAGGAGGCAGCCAATCAATGTTTCTCTCTCACACTGATGTTTCTCTCTCTCTCTCTCTCTCTCCCCCTTTCTTTCTCTAAAAAAATCAATAAAAACCTATTTGTTTTAAAAAGCTAGAAGTTGTACTCCCCCTTTCAAGTTTCATTTTGTTTTTATTTTAAAACTACTTATTGAGCATTTTTATATACGTCATCACACTTAATCCTCGCAAGCAAGCTATAAGGTAAAAGGAGAAATGTACAAATGAGTAAAAAGCTGAATCTTAAAGTTAGTAACTTTTCCAAGTGATGGAGCTAGGATTAATAAATTCAGATCAGGTCTGCCTGCAAAATCCAGGCTTTTAAACAAATCACTAGAGTCAATAGCCTCCCTTCCACTCAAATACCAACATGGACAAAATAAGTGTCTGGCCATTTATAAGTATGTATTTGAGAAAAGCTATTACCTGATATCCATAGACTACAACTGGAAGAATACATAAGAAATTAAGAGTGATTCTTCACCTCTAGATAGGAAATTTAGAACACTACTAGTATTAAAGAAAAATTTCACTGGACAGGTAGATATGGTACATATCTGTGATACATTCTGGAAACAAATTAATCATCAAAAGAATGATAACTTTAAAATATATAAAAATAAATGTAACCTTTTAGCAGTTTTGACTTTTAAAATTCTTAATGCCACAATTTCCACTACTGCTATCCTCTTTCCCCTATAAGTAATCAACAAATAAGGTAGGAGCAAAACACTATTTTACAAGTGATTAAAAACAAAATACGTGGGGATTTTGTTGTTATGCTACACTGTTAAAATGAATTTTTTTAAATTGGGTTTACTAGTTCAATCAAATCCAAGATAATTTAATTATTCTAACACCTCAGAAGTCCTTGAGACCAGGAACTTGGAGCATTTTTACCGCCATTATGAATCAAGTGCAGCAGAAGGGTACCGGGATGCTAAGTCATTGGTTTCTGCAGTCAGGCCTGGATTCTAAGGAGGCAGGCCTCTGCCTAGATGTGTCAGGGAACCTGACTCCTCCAACTCCATTCCACAAATGATTAACAGAGAGTCCCAAGTGCCAGGCTTTCTGGTGTTACCAGGGCAAACAAAATTGTCATCAAGCCCCTGACATTATGAGGCTATTCTAGTGAACCTCGGGTAAATTCCATCGTTTCTCTAAACCTCCCTTTCCCAGTCCATTAAATTACATTATAATGGTTTATATTCACAGTACCACTGCTGTATGCCAGGCATTGCTTTAAACGCTTTAATTCTCATAACCCTAAGTGATAGGTCTACATCTGTCCATCACAATTTGTAATAAAGTTTAGGAAAATTACAGTTTGAGCTGTGTGGGGTTTTTTCAATAAATAGTGTAAATGTGTTTCCAATTCCTTATGATTTTCTCAGTAACATTTTCTCTAGTGTAATACAGTAATCAACTGTTCATATTATCTGTAAGGATTCTGGTCAACAGTGGGTTATCAGTTGTAAAGTTCTGGGGAATCAAAAGTTACACTGAAATGTTCAAAGTGGGGAGTGGGTATGGGCGTCCCTAAGCCAGGGTCAACTATACTTGTAAACTACTTTGCATAGTACCTGACACATAGGAAGTACTCGGAATGAGCTACTGTTGAAATTAAATTACTAATCATTTTTGAAATTGAATAAAAGCTATGCGTGCAAAACGTTGAACTGGGTAAAAATTAAGGTTCAGGCAAGGTGACAGACGAAGACATTTTGCTACAATTTCGTGACCTGTGTAAAAAGTCCTGTTGCCTCAACCCCCACACCCCCTCACCCAGAGCCAACCGGAGAGCACACGCTGAGAGTCACAAGAAAGGAGCAGGTCCGCTCGCCTGCCACCCCCAGCCCTTGAGTGCAGCCGCACTCGCCCGAGCCCCTTCGGGCTGCTCCCCGACCTTTCGCCGGGGCACACCGGGGTCGCTCACCGTAGCAGTTCCAGACAATAGCGGTCAGTGCCCGAGGCGCCCAGTCCGCTGGCTGCAGCCACGCTCCGCCCGGAACCCGCGGGCCCAGGGAGCCTCCGCGCGCGCGCCCACAGGCCCCGGGGCGGCCGGCGGTGGCACAGGCTGAGTACGCCAAGCCGTAGCGGGGCCCAGGCTGAACCCAACCTGGAGGCCGCCATGACACCGACGTTGCGTGCCCTTCGACCCCGCGCCGTCGGCCCGCGGCCACGCCCAGCCACGCCCCCGGCCTGTCCACCCGCGCTCCGCTCAGCGGCGGGAAGGTGGCCCTGGGACGTCGCTCCGAGAAGAGCCAGATGTCGCTGTGGCTCTCTGCGTGTGGGCGGCGGCCACGCTCACGGCCTCCGAAGTTTGGGGGATTTTTGCCAATTAGATAAGTAGAAATTGTTTTCCGGTATAGTTTTAATTTGCATTTGTATTTCTCTTAGTAAGAGTGAAGATGAGCATCTTTTCATAGTTTTAGAATCTTCTTATATACTTTCCTATCAACTGCCCTTTCATAAGCTTTGCCCATTTTTCTGTAGGTTTCAAGTCTTCCATATTTATTTCTAGGAGCTCTGTATACATGAGGAAGGTCACTATAAGGTCGGCCCTTTGTACTATAAGGTCGCAGCTTTTTCCCAGTTTGTTTTTGCTTTGATTTTTCTTGTGGAATCTTACCAGGAAGAAATTTTGTAATAAGTTTTTTGTTTTGTTTTGGTTTTTTTTATCCTCACCCGAGGATATTTTTCCTTTTTTTTTTTTTTGTACAGATACAGTGGGAGGAAGAGAGAGAGAGAAACATCGACGTGAAGGGACACATCGAGTGGCTGCCACCCGCACGACCAACCAGGGCCGGGGACAAACTGCAACCGAAGTACGAGCCCTTAGCGGGAACCCAACCCGGGTCTCTCAGGACCGCAGGCCGACGCTCTAACCGCTGAGCCAAACTGGCCAGGGCTGTAATAAGTTTTTATATAGGCAAACTTATCAATATTTACACTTACACCTTCCGGAATTCGAGTCATCATTAGAAAGGCCATCTCATTTTAAATTTTTTAAGGGAATTATTCTCCTTGGTTTTCTTCTAGTACTTCTGTTTTCTTCTGTAGTACTTCTATAGTTTCAATTTTTACTTTTTTATTTTGGAGAGGGTAAATGTTACAACGAAGGCATGGTTTCAACTTTTTTCTTTATATCTATTTAGTTGTCTTATCATTTATTCATTAGTCTCCCTTTTCCCTTGTGATTTGATATTCTTCCTTTTTAATCAAGTAAACTCATGTATATACTTCGTGTCTATACTGTTCCATCTGTCTCTCAATGTTCTAATGCCACACTCTTTTAAGTATTATGGGTTTAAAATATGTTTTCATATATACCTGGTAGTACCAGGTCTTTCTACTTGTTCTTTTCCCCTCTGAGAATTTTCCTGGCCATTCTTGTTTATTTTTCCATTTGATTTTTAGGATCAGTTTTTCCATTAAAAATTTTCCGAGTATTTTTATTGTAATTATGTTAAATGTATAAACTTATGAAAAAAGTATATTTGAACCTTCATAAACATTTTTTATGACATTATAATTCATCTTATTGATAGATATGACTACTATCAATTTAACTGTACTCTAGTTATTTATCTTTATATTTTCTCCAAGTTTTGATTTTATAAGTAATTCTTAGATGAACCATTATAGTTGAATCTTTGTTCGTAATTGTGATTATTGCCAATGATAAATTCCTAGAAATAAAATCATTAGTCAAAGGCCGTGGAATTTTGAAATATCTGACATTGCCATAATTCTTATGTACTCCCACAAATCGTGGATGAAATAGTGATAGATTAAATTTTTTTAAAAGTCTTGCTGCTTCACCCTGGCCGATTTGGCTCAGCGGTTAGAGCGCCGGCCCACGGACCAGAGAGTCCCGGGTTCAATTCCTGCTACGGGCACATACCTCGGTTGTGGTTTGTCCTGGGCCCTGATTGGGGTCATGTGGATAGCAACCAGTCAATGTGTCTCTTTCACATCAATGTTTCTCTCTCTCCTTCTCCCTCTCTCTCTTTCTCCCACTCTCTCTCCCACTCTATCTGAAGATAAATGCAAAAATGTCCTCAGGTGAGGTTAAAAATAAATCAATAAAGTCTTGCTATTTCAGTAGGTAAAAAGTTATTATCTCACTTTTTAATAGTTATATATTTGGTTATTAGTGAGATCTTTTTTGTTTAAAAAAATGTTAAAACATTTTTAAAAACATGTAAAAAGTAAAAGTTCTTGCTCCCTCAAACCTCTCACTTATACTGCTAAGGAATATTTTTTTGACATTTAATTTTGTTAACTTTTTATGTTGTCAAATCTATAGAACTTTTTCTTTGACAATTTTTTCCATTTATGCTTAGAAAGGTACCCCCCTATACAGAAATCAGAGGTGGAGGGGAGCCAGAGAAAGTATGTAGAAATCAGCAAGTAGGCTGTTGAGGTTGCCTGGGCAAGAGTTATTGTGGCTTGGACTGGGATAGTGGTATTAGAGATAGATCTATATATAAATTGGAGGTTTACTTGCTGATGGATTAATGGTGTGGTGGGAGGAAGGTAATAAAAAAAAGAGAGAGAGAGAGAGAAATAAGTTATGGTTCCAAGATTATGGCATAAGCAACTGGTGGAATGAGGCTATCTTTTTCACATTCCTGAGCTGAAGGATGTGAAGTCTTTATGGGATGATTGGGGATATTTTGGTGTATGATACTTTCCTGATAATCTACATGTAATCCCTCTTTGGCAGGATCCTTCAGTACAGGCTGACACATCCCTCAACTCTCTGGCTGCCCTTTATTCTTTGATCTGACATGTTTTAATGTGCCTGCCTATTTTGTAGGAATGTTCTTTTCATGTTTACAAAGTATTCTTGGATTTGTCTCACATTCTTTTTGATGACTTCTTCCTAGGTACTAATGTGGGCCAGGGTTTTCTGTTCCCCAGTCACCAGGAGCTTAGAAGGAGTGTTTCAAGCACTGGAAGATCATAGACAAGGGCTGGGAGGTACTCCCTTGGTGCTTTCTCTAGTTATCAGATTGTTGCAATGAGGACCCTCGGGCAATTTCTGAGGGTTGGTGCTGTGTAACTTGCCACCACCTTTTATTTCAACATAGGGGTCATCAAAGGAGAACCTGGTTTATGAGTGTGTGGCCTAGAATAGCTAGTTTGAAACTAATCAGTTCGTTGTTGATGTCAGTTCTATGCAGAACAGTGCTTAGTGAAGCTTCTAGTCCTCCTCAAACTCCATAAACAACTTCAGAGGACAATGTCATTTCAAAACATCACAGTAACATCACAGTCTCTGCTATAGGGAAAGAAAGAAAAAGCCTGAGTATGACAGTTCTCCCTCTCTGATTTCCTGCCAAAAGGACACATGCTGAGTTGTTTTTCTGAGAGTTACAGTGGCTTGTGTGGAGCTAAACTATGCACATGCTCCCTTCTGATTTTGGCAACCAGTAGCACATGCCAACAAGGGAAAAGGTTCACTCGAGTTAGGAATGTAGTCTGTGGTCTTGGAACAGCTTTTCTGGGCAAAACTAACTGATTCTTCCAGGGAAATGAGCAGTCTAATTCTTTCAAAAAGTACATTCTGAGTCACAATTCTATTGCATAACCAAAAGTCACACCTACAGCAAATTAAACATGTTTGTCACTAAGGATATTTTCATCTGGCAAACAAAATACTGTAGGATTATGCCACTCTCACTTCCTGGAATGTCCTGTGTGCTGTATCTTCAAGGAGACCATTTGGCCACACTCCCAAATCCCTGGCCTTTGACCAGACACCTACTGCCTCCACAGACTCCCAAGAGAGCTATGCAGGGGAACAGTCCTGGTGAGTGAACACTGTTTATTACACTGTTTATACAAACCTCACTGCTAAGCTTGTCTGGATGACTTCAAAAGCAAAAAGAGACATAGAAAGACAAACCCCGTAAAAATGGTGGAACCCAAGACTAGATCAAAGTGGTGAAGCTTCAGCTCAATTGGGGGTATGGGAAGAGACTCTTGAACTTGTCCTTGTCACCAAAATTCCTAATGCCCTTTTCCCACTTCATTAATTTCTAGTCATCTTGTGAACCTCAATTCAAATGCCTCCTTCCTTTCTGAATTTTTTTTGACCATAGCCCCATCCAAGAAAAATGAATAGTTCCTTCATTTGTGATCCTATAACAATTTGTGTGCTTCTCTTTGATCAGTTTACTAGGTCTTACTGTGATAATCTGTTTACATGGCCCTCTTCCAAAGGTATATTCTGTATTACTCCTCTTTTTTATTTCCAGTGCCTAGCCAAGTGCCCAGCATTGGAAAGTGTTCAGTGTATTGTTCTGAAAGCCATGGTTTTTGGCACTGCAAACAAGGCACCTGGTTGTACAGTTTATGCACTGCACAAATGTGCCTGGTCAGGGGGACAAGTGGGACTGGTGTGGGCTGGTTTGGGCCTATCTCTGAGGAAGGGGAAGCCTTTCTCTTCACAGAGAGGCATGAGCTTGCAAGTTTGCATGCATCCAGAAGGGGCATCTCCTAATTAGCAAGATACTATATAGGTTTTCAGTCTTCCTGATTGGAAGAGTAAATGAGACCCAGAAGAATGTAAAGAAATTCAAACTTGAAAGGAATAGTTACCCTTGTGAAAAGTTTTCACTACTCATCTAATAGTCAAGCTTTAGATTTACCTGATTTTAGAGAACTTATTATCAATTATGAGTAACAGGAACTTGAAGGAATCAAGCTTTTCGATATAGTGTACTTATCCTCAATTACTATTTTTTTTAACTTTTTAAAATTGATTTTAGAGAGAGAAGAAGAGAAAGAAACATCGATGTGAGAGAGAAAAATTAACCATGCCTACTAAATGCGCCCCGACTGAGATCAAATCCCCAACCTGGGTATGTGCCCTGACTGGGGATTGAACCTGCCACCTTCTGGTGTACAAGAAGATGCTCTAACCAACTGAGCCACACCGGCAGGGCTACTTTTTTTTTTTTTTTTAATACACACAATTATACATTTATAGACCTAAAAGTTATCTATTGATTTTTTGAGCATTTAATACTGCATATGTGCTTGTATGGACTAAGCACTAGAAACTGTAATAAAATTGGCCAGTGTCAAATACCTATGAAGTGGCAGGTTTTTCATTTGCTACAAGGTTATCTACCATACAATTCTATGAGAAACAAGAAAAGGCAAAGTGGTCCCTACATTAGTACAGTTTCAGTTCTATCCATTTTGCTCCTTGGCTTTCACTGTGGTCTTATATTGCCCATTGTTCAATGCTGAAGCTATCATTCCTTTAGTTTTTGTTTTGTTTTGTTTTCTTTATATGTTCCCACCCACCTACTGAAAATAGACCATCACTATTCTGGGGATATCGCTACTAAGCGTGCCATAGACTTGCACAAAATCATATGTGTGAAGAAGGAAGATTGATGGTGGTTCCTACACAAGACACAGCAAGACCTATCACAGTTGTCACGTGGTTATGGTGGATTGCCTCTGCGCAAATTGTTTTGAATCAGAATTAAAGAACCAAGGTTTGAAAATAGTTTGCTTTTTATATATGTCAAAAATGATTCCAGGTTATCCCTATGATAATGCATGGGAGAGAAAGAGGTGGAGTTATAGTATTGTACCAGAAAATGCAAATACCTTATCTAAGCCACAGTCCCTAGTTCAAGTACCCAGGGGGTATAGCATATCTGTGAAATCCCCCTTTCACCCACTATGTATGTGTTGTAAGAGGAAATGGTTAGGAGTGCAAAGGCTTATGATGTCATTTTTTCTTCTTTTTCTTTTCTTTATTCTTCATATCCTCCTGTTCCTTCTCTTCTTTCCTCTTTTGGCACCTGCATTAGGGTACCATCCACAGCTGTTAAAAAATTAGTTAAGCCCTGGCCGTTTTGGTTCAGCAGTTAGAGCGTTGGCCTACAGTCCAGAGAGACCCAGGTTTGTTTCCCGCTAAGGGCACATACCTCAGTTGCAGTTTGTCCCCGGCCCTGGTTGGGTTGTGTGGGTGGCAACCACTCGATGTGTCCCTTTCACGTCTATGTTTCTCTCTCTCTCTCTCTCCCCCTCGCACTCTATCTGAACAAAAAATAGAAAAATGTCCTCAAGTGAGGATTAAAAAAAAAAAATTAGTTAAATACCATTTGTATTTAATGAGCATCTTTACACATCTGTTTTTTATCTCAATGCCTGGAGTGCACACTTCCTTTTTCCCACTCCCAATTGCCTTGTTCCCAGGTGTTTCCTTATCTGCCCCCACACAAGTAGATTGGGAGAACCTCGAGGAAAAGAAACAAGTCTCAATCCTACTTGTTTTTAACCCACTGGCTTTATAGTGTAGTAAGAAATTGCTCAATACATCTTTCTTAAATGAAAGTTAATGAATGAAGGCATTAATGAATGAATAAATAGAAGGTTAATGAGAGATGAAAAGAGGCCTCAACACTATCTGTGCTATTTTGTTTATATAAAAATTCTGAAACACACCAAAGATAAACATTTTCTAAGTCAAGGTGCTGGATATGTAAGTATATATTACCTTATTATCCATACTATTTTTCATGTTTGAAAATTTTTGCAATATTTAAAAATCGAGTGATAGAGGTCATAGCAATATGACAAAAATGCCCTTTCAAGGATGTCATCATTGATTTAGGGAATTGTTCCATGCACACAAGATTACAGAAGTCTGTTGGACTGTACATATTCAGGAGTTGACTGGCAAGATGGAAAGAAACTAAAGAACTCTGAAACTAGAAAAGCAGGAGCTGACACTACTTGTCTAGTTTGCAGAGTGCTCTAGGAATCAGCAGAGAAGCACTTTGGGTATTTTAAATACATATCCAGCCTCTGTGAAATATGGTCAGAAAGAACTGGATGAGTCAAGGTAGCATTATATTAGCTAGCTAAATACTGGGGGCTGGTAGAAAGCCTAGAGAGAACTGTGGCAAAGTATCTCTGTTTATCCCTTCAGGTCAGATCTGCTCTTTATACTACTCTCCTGGGAGATTGATCTGTATGGAACACATTAGTAGATGCTCATGACTTTGGTTTCTAGTCAGGTTCAGCTGGAAGTCAAAGGGAGGGAAGAAGCAAAGGGTGGTCAGATTGCTTAATCCCCTTGTTCCTTTCCTGTAAAGTTGCACCTCTGCCTGACTCTGCATTACTCTCTACCTGGCTCTCTATTTGTCTCTTGGTAACCATCCCTTCTCCGCACCTCTTTGGGCCTGGGTATTAAGAGTTCATTGAAGGAGGTAGAAGACCTGTACCCAAAAAACTATAAGACATTGAAGAAAGAAACTGTCCCTGGCCAGGCAGCTCAGTTAATGAGAGAGTTGTCCCTTACCCTAAAAGGTTGCGCGTTCAATTCCCAGTCAGAGCACATACCTAGGTTGCAGGTTGGGTTTGATCCCCAATTGGGAAGCATATGAGAGGCAACTGATCAGTGTTTCTCTCTCACATCCATGTTTCTTTCTCTCTCTCTCTCCGCCCCCTTCTCTTTCTCCCTTCCTTGCCCTCTAAAATTGATAAACATATCCTTGGGTGAGACTTTTAAATAAGAAAGAGAGAAAGAAACTGAGCAAATGGAGAATACAAGCAAATGGAGAGATATACCATGCTTATGGATAGGAAGAATTGACATTATTAAAATGTCCATATTACCCAAAGCAATCTACAGATTCAATGCAATCCCTATCAAAATACCAGTGGTATTTTCACAGAACTAGAACAGATAATTCTAAAATTTATATGGAACCACAAAAGACCTGAAATAGCCACACAATCTTGAGAAAGTAGAACAGAGTTGGATGTATCACACTACCTGATATCAAACTATACTACAAGGCCATACTGATAAAAAAAAAAAAAGGCATGGTATTGGCACAGCAACAGAGACATAGATTATGGAACAGAATAGAGAGCCTAGAAATAAACGCACATCTACATAGTCAATCAATCTAAGACAGTCTCTTCAATAAATGGTGTTGGGAAAACTAGACAGATATGCAAAAAAAAAAAAAACGGAAAGAAACTGGACTACTTTTTCACATCATATACAAACTCAAAATGGATTAGCAACTTAAATGTAAGATTGGAAACCATAAAACTCCTAGAAGAGAACATAGGCAGTAGACTCTTTGACATCGCTCTTAGTAATTTTTTTTTTGGGGGGGGGGGGGGATGTGTCTCCTTGGACAAGGAAAACAAAAGAAAAAAATAAACAAATGGCACTATATCAAACTGAAGAGTTTTTGCATAGCAAAGGAAACCATCAACAAAACGAAAAGACAGCATACTAAATAGGACAAGATATTTGCCAATGATGCATCCAATAAGAGGTTAATATCCAGAATATTTAAAGAACACATACAACTTAACACCAACAACAACAACAAAAAAACACCCTGGCCGGTTTGGCTCAGCTGTTAGAGCATTGGCCCACAGACCGGAGAGTCCCAGGTTTGGTTCCCGCTAAGGGCACATGACTAGGTCGCAGTTTGTCCCCGGCACCGGTTGGGGTCCTGAGGGTGGCAGCCAGTTGAAGTGTCTCTCTCACATCAATGTTTCTCTCTCTTCCTCTCTCCCTCCCATTCTATCTGAAGATAAATGCAAAAATGTCCTCGGATAAGGATTTAAAAAAGCCAATCTGATTAATAAATGGGCAGAGAAACTAAATAGACACTTCAAAGAGGATATACAAATAGTCAAGAGACATATGAAATAATGCTCAATGTCACTAATCATCAGAGAGATGCAAATTAAAACATCTATGAGGTATCACCTTACACCTGCCAGAATGGCCGCCATCAACAGATCATCAAACAAGTGCTGGTAAGGGTGTGGAGAAAATGGGAACCCTAGTACACTGCTGGTGGGACTGCAGACTGGTACAGCCACTGCGGAAAATAGTATGGAATTTCCTCAAAAAGTTAAAAATGGAACTGCCATTTGACCCAGTGATCCAACTTCTAGGAATATACCCTAAGAAGCCTGAAACACCAGTCGGAAAGAATATATGCACCCCTATGTTCATAGCAGCACTATTTACAATAGCTAAGATCTGGAAACAGCCCAAGTGTCCATCAGTAGATGAGTGGATAAAAAAGCAGTGGTACATATACACAATGGAATACTATGCAGCTGTAAGAAAGTGAGATCTCTTATCCTTTGAGATGACATGGAGGGACCTGGAAAGTATTATGCTAGGTGAAATAAGCCAGTCAGAGAAAGACACATATCACATGATCTCACTTATTTATGGTATATGATGGACAAAATAGACCCAGAGACATGGAAGTAGGCTGACAAACCTCAGAGGGAAGGGGAGGTGGAGTGGGAAGAGCTAAACCAAAGAACTTACATGCAGGTGTGCAAGGCCTATAGTCACAGGCTGGAGTGTGGTGAAGGCAGGAGGGTAAGAGGGTGGGGAGGAGGAGGGTGTCAGTGGGGGGGAGTCTGTAATATAACAATAAAGATAATTTTTTTAAAAAGATGTGCACTCCTGTGTTCACTGCAGCCTTATTTACAAAAGCCAAGATATGGAAGAAACCTAAATGTGCACTGAAGACAAATGGATAAAGAAGTGGTACAGATATACAATGAAATATTATTCAGCCATAAAAAAATGAAATCTTATATGTGACAACATGAATGGACCTACAGAAGTCTGACAGAGAAAGACAAATATATGATTTTACTTATGTGTGGAATCTAAAAGACAAAATAAATGAACAAACTAAACAGAAACAACATAGATACGAGAGCAGGCTGATGGTTGCCAGATGGGAGGGAGTTTATGAGGATGGGTGGAAAAGGGGGGAAGGGATGAAGAAGTACAAATTGCCAGATATAAAACAGTCCCGGGATATAAAATACAGCATAGGGTATATAGTCAATAATATTGTAGTAACTGCATGGTGTTGGATGGGTACTAGATTTATCAGGATGATCACTTTGTAAGTTATATAATGTTGTACACTCAAAACTAATGTAATATTGTGTGTCAATTGTAATTGAAAATACTTTTGTTAAAGAGTTCATTGAGAAGTGCGAAATGCCCACACACACACGCACCTTTTAAAAGAGTTCCTTTCTATATTAAACATCCCAAATTAGCCTCTTCTGAGTGTTCCATTTGTTTTCTGTTGGTACTGATTGATCAAGGGCCTGGACCACAATGTCCAAGTTTTAACTCTTCACCAGCAGTTAGCACACAGGTCTCTGTTCTTCACTTAGCAAATGCTGGAATAGAACTTCAGAGAATTACCTGTAACTACTAACCTCCTATGTATACTTGGTGTCTTTAGCTTTTTTAAAAGTCCCTTCCTCCTCTCCTTTCCTGCCATGAAGTTATAGAAACAGAAATGTTAAGCAACTTCAAAATACTTGAAAACACATTGTCAGCATGAAATAATTATAGTCATCCTTTAATAAATTCTACCTTCTAATCACTTTTGTTTACTTTGTGATCTTTATATATTACTGTGTTAATATATGTAAATTGTAATTAGAGAGGGAAATCTTAATAGTCAATCTACCATATTATGATGAAAGGGGGATTATGTGATTTAGTTAATTTGAAATATTATGGAAAGCAACAATGAAATGGTAAGGGTCTGGGATAATGTTCCTGGGCCTGGCCAGGGATGTATGGTGATATCCAAAACTCTTTAAGGCCTTTGCACATACCATTACCTCTGCCTGGAATACTCTCCCCCCTTCTCCACTCCTCATCTGGTTAATCTTATATACCCCTCAGCATTCTGCTTTAATGTCACAACCTCAGATAAATCTCTGATCCCAATCTAAATTAACCCCCACCTCCTTTCCATTTTCTCTGATAGAACTCAGTTCTTTTCCTTCTTCCTACTTATCACAGTATAAAGTATTTATTTATTTGTGTGTTCATTGTCCAATGTCCATCTCACTCATGACAGGAACCAGGTTTGTTTGGTTCCCCCACATATGCAATTCCTAACACAGTGCATGTCAATATCAGTGGCCCAATCCATAGTCATGAAATAAATGAATGTACGAAGTCCTTACAAAAGAAGAACCATTGCTTTTATGAATTGCAACATCATTGGTACTACTGTTATCAAAGGTGAATTATTTGCTTGCCTTAAGTTTAAGAGCATGCCTAAATTAGGGATATTAGATATTGTTCCCTAAATAAATATATTTATATATCTACTGTAGATTTACATTTTAAGACTTCTATTTTGTTCCAGGAAGCCAAAAGCCCAGCCAACACCTTACCACAAATAGTCCTAAAAAATAAGTCCTTTCTTAGATCTCTTATCCTTTGAGACAACATGGAGGGACCCGGAAAGTATTATCCTAAGCAAAACAAGCCAAACAGAAAGACAAGTATCATATGATCTCACTTATTTCTGGATTATAATGAACATAACAGTCTGAAGAACAGGGTAGTCCCAGAGACGTGGAAGTGGGGTATAGACCGACAATTCCCAGTAGAGGGGGTTAATGGGGGAGAGATAAACCACAGAACTTATATGCATATATGCATGAACAATGGACATGGACAACAAAGCTGGGGACAGGGCGGGGGGGGAGGGGGGGACAGTGGGGGAAAAAGGAGAAACATCTGTAACAAAAATTAATTAAAAAAAATAATAATAAATACTGGAGCCCTGGCCGGTTTGGCTCAGCGGTTAGAGCGTCGGCCTGCAGTCCTGAGAGACCCGAGTTCGGTTCCCGTTAAGGGCGCGTACCTCGGTTGCAGTTTGTCCCCGGCCCTCGTCGGTCGTGCGGGTGGCAGCCACTCGATGTGTCCCTTTCACATCGATGTTTCTCTCTCTCTCTGTTCCTCTCTCTCCCTCCCGCTCTACCTGAACAAAAAATGGAATAGAATATATAAAAAAGAAAAAGAAAAAAAAAATACTGGAATACTGGGGGGAGAAAAGTCTTTTTTTTTTTTAATCCTCGACATTTTTCTATTTTTTGTTCAGATAGTGTAGAAGGGAGAGAGAGGAAGAGAGAGAGAAACATCGACGTGAGAGGGACAGATCGAGTGGCTGCCACCTGCACGACCAACCAGGGCCGGGGACAAACTGCAACCGAGGTACATGCCCTTAGTGGGAACCGAACCCGGGTCTCTCTGGACCGCAGGCTGACGCTCTAACCGCTGAGCCAAACCGGCCAGGGCAATAAGTCCTTTCTTAATGTTATAAATGACTAAACTAGCTTTGTAATTAGATACTAGGGGGTGCCTACTGTTTCTGCCTGTACAGCTTCCTTTCCACCTTCCTTAGGTTATAGAACCAAGGACTACCATGTATGGCCTCTCACGGGTTGTGTGGTGTACAACTCAAGGTCCCATTCACACAGACTATAACATAAATTAGAGTTCCAAAGCTGTACAACGTGGTCACCCTGACATACATAACTCTTGGTAAATTTTCCTCATCCACATAGGTAATCCAACCTGTGCTTTGGGTCTACTCCCTTGACACGGAGGTGGACATATGATCCAGGCCAGTCAGTCAGACAGTTATCTCTAGATATCAACATTGATTATTGTAGGTCTAGGCACATGATCCAAGGAAACCAACCAGCACTGTTTAGGGTAATTATGTGGATGATAGAAGAAAAAATATTCCCTGGTGCCTTGGCCGGTTTGGCTCAGTGGTTAGAGTATAAGCCTGTGGACCAGAGAAGAATCTTTCCTGAGATTTCTAATACTAAGAAGCATGAAAGTCTAAAGCTGCTAGGGGTTCTTTTGCCACATAACAATAAAAGCCTACCTGCAAATAAAGTCCACATAGAGAAAAGCAGAACTGAAAGAAGCAGAAAAGGAGACAGATTCTTGATGGTATGGTTGATCCCCAGCTCTGCCTAAACTACTCTTGGGCTTTTGGGTTATGTGAGCTAGTAAGTTCCCTCCCTCGTTTAGGAGTGTTTTAGTTGGATCTCTGTCACTTTAACCCCGAGTTCTGGCTAATACAGATGCATAAACAAAACCATAAATCAGGAACTTCAAACTTGTTTTCTTACCAGAAAACTCTACTTATAACAATGATGAGGTCATTTCTCTGCCCACAGCCCTCCAATGGCTTCTCATCTTACCCAGAGAAAAACATAACTGTCCACATATGGCCAGAAGGTCCCTGCATTGTCTGGCTTTATCTCCTCGCACTTTCCCCGACTTGCTCACTATGTGTAAGGAACCCTGACCTTGGTGATCCTTACACTTACCAAGCATTATTGCTGTTCTTTCTGCCAAGACATGCTTTTCCTAGTTATCTGCTTGACTTCATTCTCTATCCATATGTGAACTCCCTCATCACCCCATCTAAAATCTTACTTCCCTCTCTGTGTTATTTCCTAGAGCTGCCATAACAAAATACAACACACTGGGTGGCTTACACACCAGAAATTTATTGTCTCACAGTTCTAGAGGCTGGCAGTCTGAGATCAAGGTGTTGGCAGACATGATTTGTTCTCGAGGCGGGGAGAGAGAGTCTGTTCCATGCCTCTCACCAGCTTCTGGTTAGTGCCCTGGCCATCTTTGGTGTTCCTTGGCTTGTAGAAGCATTACCTGGATCTCTGCCTTTATCTTAATATGACATTCTCCCTGTGTGTGTATCTGTCTGTGTCCAAATTTCCTCTTTTTTTTTTTTTATAGACACCAGTCATATTGGATTACGACCCACCCTAATGATCTCATCTTGACTTGATCATCTGCAAAGATCCTATTTTCAAATAAGGTGACAGTCATGGATACTGGGACTTTCAACATCTTTAGGGGGACACAGTTCGACCCATAACACTCCTCTTATGCTGCCTCATTTTTCTTTGTAGTGTGTATCACCATCTGACATATAAACATGTTTTCACCAACTTAATGTCTCTCCTTAGGATGTAAGTTCCATGAACATGTGGATATAATGTTCAAATATATGTTAACTGAGTTGAATGCTAAGCAGGAAACGAGGCTCTCCTATTTTAAAATAATGCTAAAGTCTGAAACTTCTTTTTGCATAATCAACTATTTGAAGTAACGAAGGTTTCTCAGAAGTCTTGAATGTGCATACTCAGAATCTCAAGACTCACGGGAGACCTATCCAAAATCTCTATAACATTATCAAATGCCATTCCTTTGAAAATAGAAGGGTGGGTAGAAACTCTGAAGAAGAATGGAATTTGGGAGTGGTAGGTTGAGAAGGGGACATGTGAGAAATGGTGAAAGCTAAGTGAGGTTAAGAATAATCAAGCTCTGGCAAAATCTACAAGTAGTGATCTTGTTGCTTGACTTCATGATAAAAGTATGGCAGTGCCTTCAATGGAGTTATGTTATTTCATTACCCATTGAAAAGTATTTTTAGCCCTGGCCGGTTTGGCTCAGTGGTTAGAGTGTCAGTCCGTGGACCAAAGAGTCGTGGGTTCAATTCCAGTCAAGGGCATGAACCTTGGTTGTGGTTCAGTCCCCAGCCCTGGTTGGGGTTGTGCGAGAGGCAGCCAATTGATATGTCTCTCTCATATTGATGTTTCTCTCTCTCTCTTTCTCTGTCTCTCTCACCCTCTCTCTCTCCCTCCCACTCTGTCTGAAGATAAATAGAAAAATATCCTCGAGTGAGGATTTTAAAAATATGTATTTTTTAAATGTGAAAACAAATTTTGCCTGCTGCAGATATTAGGAGTTACCCCTCTGGCATGTATTGAGATGTATTAACTATGTATAATTTTATCAAGTTGTATTATTATTATTATCTATCTTTCATCTGATACCCCCATTGGAATATGAGCGGAGGGACAGGAAGGCTGTGTCTTTGCTGGCCCACAGGCAGTCAAAAGACAAGCAGTAAATTAAAAGAAAATATTTGTAGCATACACACATAAAAAAGAGCTAAGATCCCTTATTTTACTTAAGGCTTTTATAAATCAATAAGACAAATGACCCAGTGGACCAAAGGAAGTACAGATGCCATATAAACATAGGAAAAGTTGCTCAGTTTTGCCAATAGCCAGGGAAATGCAACTTAAAATAATACAAAAATTGAATTTTTGTTCATCTGCTTAGCAAAGGTTGAAAAGATTAATAACTTCCAGGTTGGTGAGGGTATGAATAATCAGACACTCTCATACTGTGGGTGTGGGACAGTATGTGAAACTGCATGTTTAAATTCAAAATATACTGACCTTTTGACCTAAAAATCTTATATTTAGGAATCTATTCTGAAAAAAAAAAAAAAAAAAAGGCAGCCCTCAAAATGATACATATCAATAAGACTCCAGAATTAGTATAGGAAAGACACGGGTGCCCATTTGGATTTAAACAAATCAAGAATATGACATTTCACAGAGTGAGAAGAACCTAGATTTTTTTCTGGGGGAAGGGAAAGGTTGAGAGTCAGGAAAATGGATGAGATTTGAGGGGTTTTTAGAGTGAAAGGGGAGGCTCACGTAGAAGTGTGATGAAAGAGAGTCTAGCATGGGGCACCTGGAGGTTCTCTGATGCTCCCAAACCATTTGCGGCCCAGAGCAGCGTGGTTGGCTGAGACTCCAGCTATCTTATAGCTCCTTCCAGGTCTGGGAGGTAGCCCTCTTTCCTGGGCAGCCCGCAGCAGTGACGAGGCAGGCTCTGGACAGGCCTGGACATTTCCTCCAAGCTGTGCTTCGCCTTTGTCAACTCTGCCTGGGTTGGATGGCTCCCCATGCCCATACAAGCTTCTTTCCCCTTTGTCCTCATAGCTTTTACTCCCCCCAGAAACCTTTCCCACTCTTTCCCTGCCTCAGTACCTGCTCCCCAGAAAGCCCAACTGGCACAGCTAAAGACCCCTCATTTACAACTACTAAAGTTTCACACTCGTGGGATTTTTAAAAAGACTCCAAAAGGACCTATTTCTCATTTTAATTTCAAGTTTGGGAATTAAAGCCAAATAATTGCCAGTTTGTTCTCTGCCACACAGTCACTGTTGAGCTTTAGCTGATGACTGGCTTTGTCTGAGTGAACAATCACAAATTCCCCCAGGAACGTATTCCTTTTTTGTCATTAAAGAGAAATTAAAGAAATTTTGGAGGGGATAACTCCTACAAATATTGCTATAAAGCTTTCTAATTTTCATGAACAGTAATCTTAATTTTAGAATAAGAAAGGATCTTGAAGTTTATTTTCATTTGAGACCCTCTTTTTGCATCAGAGCCCTTATCCATAGAACCCTTGAAAATTGTAATGTGGATCTACAGTTATAAAAGCAAACAAACAGCCCAGCCGGTATGGCTCAGTGGTTGAGCATCAGCCCATGCACCAAGAGGTCACTGGTTTAATTCCCTGTCAGGTCATATGCCCAAGTTGTGGGCCAAATCCCCAGTGGGGGGCATGCAGGAGGCAGCCAGTCGATGTTCTCTCTCATCGATGTTTCTATCTCTCTCTCCCTCTCCCTTTTTCTCTCTCTAAAAAAAAACCAATAAAGAAAAAAATATATAAATAAAAGCAAACAACAAAAAACAACTCTGCAACTGTGTCAATAAAAACAGTTAATGTTCCAAATAGTTATAACTTGTGTTGGTGTTATTCAGAATTACTGTAGTACCAGGTGGTAACTCCCATCTAAATAAACTAGCATGTATGTTTGTTTGTTTGTTTGTTTATTTAAGTTACAGATGTTTCTCCTTTTTTCCCCCATTGACACTCTCCTCACCTTCCCTCCCTGTGCACCAGCTTTGTTGTCCATGTCCATTGGTCATGCATACATGCATATAAGTTCTGTGGTTTATCTCTTCCCTCCACCACCCCCTCATCTGGGGATTGTCAGTCTGTACCCTACTTCCACGCCTCTGGGACTACCCTGTTCTTCAGCTGTTATGTTCATTATATTCCAGAAATAAGTGAGATCATATGATACTTCTCTTTCTCTGTTTGGCTTGTTTCGCTTGGATAATACTTTCCAGGTGTCCCTCCATGTCGTCTTAAAGAATAAGAGATCTTTCTTACAGCTGCATAGTACTCCATTGTGTATTCGTACCACAGCTTTTTTATCCATTTGTCTACTGATGGACATTTGGGCTGTTTCCATTATCTTAGCTATTGTAAATAGTAGCATGTATATTATTAAGTAGATGATAAAGTTCAATCTCTAGGACCTAATGTTTTTTTTCATTTGGATATATTTTTGTTTTCATTGTTTTCAATTTACCAACTGTATTCCTTAAAAGGACAATTCAGTTTTCTTTTTCAGAAAACAACGCAGAGGCCGCTTGGCCTTTCTTTGGTCTGTGTGCTGGGGAATTTACAAGCATATTAATTCAGTACAGCATTTGGGGGGAAGCATTCTGTGTTTTGTCAAGAAGAAAACGTGACTTTAAAATGTATAACTTTGAAAAAATGTTAATAAATAATTATTACTGGTTTAATAAGTTTTTAACTATATTAAAGGGAAGGGTGACATTCAAAATTGTTTTTCTGTATTTAATAGGGAATACATTTGTCAATTCCCTTTATTCTCGAAACACTTTTCTCTGCCCTCTTTTGCCATCTCTGCTGAAATTACATCTTCACTTGGCTCTTTCTCCTTTATAAAAAGGAGAAGCTCAACTTCGGACCCAGGCTGCCTAACCTTCTTTCACTGATCCAATTTCCTCCCAGGCTGGCCTGGGGCAGATGAGGTTATAGTGAGATTTTTCAGCCTTATAGGAAGACCCCAGTCCCTGTACCTTTTTCTGTTGCTGCTTTGAGGATCTCTACTGCACCATCCACCCTCTTTCTCTAATGACCCACTGACCCAGCAGTTCCCAAAGCAAGATGACTGATGATCTAAGTCCAGCTAGATCTGGTTTCATCGACACCATGGAACAGCCAACTTGTCTACACAAAAGGGTGGTTTCAGCTACAAATTACAGGCAGATGGTTGAGCATCTTTTGTACTACTAAAATTGAGATAGGCTGTTTCCAAATCAAAGGCAATCAGCGTAAATGGCATTTACTTATATATGTGTGCATATGTACATATTATGTGTTGGCTAACAGTGAAAGTGTCTGTGTTCACAAGCATGAGTTCAGGATATTTCTACATCTATAAATATATGTGTATAAATAGTGTATCCCATGACATAAATAGAAAGTTGCTTTCCTATTTAAGTTTGAAAATAAATAGTTTAAATGGGAGTTACCCCAAAATATTAATTAGCATTTTTGGTAATAGCTCAGGATAAATTTAGTTCTTTTATAAGGAGCTTATGGTTGAAAAAAAAATAAAACAGATCAAATCAATACCTATAAAAATTAGCTTAGGAAAACCTAGGCTTTAGCAGTTGGGGCAGAAACTGGCCTTAGAATCTGCCCTTTGATGCACTTAACTGAAGCAAGGATTATTCAAAGTTTTTCTTTACACAACAGGAATGGATAAGACTTGATGATGATTATCTTTAATTCATTATGTATTACTAAGTTGCAATGTTCTTTCTCAGTTATTAACTAAATATTCCTGGCCTGTGGTGAGGGAGAGGAGGAAATGAGAGAGTAGAGAGTCAGAGACCATCTGGTCCTGGTCCCATATTTATGAAGGGCTTTGAATTTAGGCTTTTGACATAACCACCAGAGGAGGTTACACAAAGATATTCTGATACACAAAGAAAACACCCCTATCCAAATTTAAAATTGAGATCCATGAGTAAATGACATCACCTTTGGTATACTCTGAACTTTAAAATTAAATATTTTAATTATCTTCTGACTAGCACAACTGTTTAACTTTAGCTGATGACTGGC